TCATTTACATACAACATGCAGATATGAAGGCACAGTAATATATATTCAAAGTATGTTTTTAAAGATCAATTTATTGATTAAAAATTTTATTAGATTGGTTAATTAATGTTTTAATGATTGAAAGTTTTCACTTGAAAACAAAGTTTTAAGGGAAATGTTAAACACTTTTAGATAAACGAGTTTAAGAATCTTAACGGTTAAGTTCCTATTTAAATGAAATTATGATATAAAATTGAACTTGAACTTTTATTACCGAAGGCTTGACCGGTCCACGGAGGTTTTTGATCAAATAAATATTAAAATTTTAATTCCTTCCGTAAGTTTACTTTTAATTTAGTTCCTCAATATTTCACCATACTCTTGATTAGATTCACATACATTCAAATGTAGTCTTTGTTGCAGTGGGAATTCATTATAAGGTTTGATTATCGTTTGATGCAATATTTGGGAAGAATTGTTATAAGAAGGTAGGTATTTAAAAATTTTGTAATATTTAAAAAATGAGAAAGAATTTTGAAGCTTGCATATATAAAGTAAGAAGTATTAATAACTCTGTATAATAAGATGTATCAAACGTTTTATGTTCAAACAACCTTCAAATCTAACTGATTTATGTAAAAAAAAACTTTTCATCGATAAATTTTCTTGAAACAATTGTTGCTAAAAAGCTTACTCCATAATAACAACAAATAGTGATTAATCAACAAGTAACTATAGTTAGTTATAAGATGAACTCGATGAAAAAGGTTATTTTTACAGCTTTCCGATAAAAATCAAGCTAAGATACTTAAAGCTGATTTATAAATGTTTTTTTTTTTCAAAGTTGAGCAACCTTTTATCAAAACCGTATCTCGAAATGGAGGAATCAGGAAGCAACTTAAAGCAGGAAGTTTGGAATGATACACTAAAGACAAAAGGAAGAAAATTTAAGGTGACATTGAAAGAATTAAAATAATCAAATTTATTTTAATATTTTTTCTTAAAACAAAGAGCCACATCGCGTCGTTACTGGATTTATTCGGAAGTTTGATTAAAACTTCAGTGGATGGTTATGAATTATGCACACATATCACAGTCCCTAAAGAGTACGTTTCACTACGTGGAGAAATATCAGCTGAGTGGTTGAAAGAATATCATGTTGTCAATTGGATCGATTTCTCTTTCAAATGCCAACATTGTGATTTGACAATAAAATCGCTCAATTTATACTGGAAGCATCTGAAGGACAATGAAGTTGAAAAAATCAAAATCAAATGTTGTGAAGAAGATTGCAACAAACAATACTCAGCATTAAATTCTTATATCAACCATGCAATCAAAATTCATCACGAATGTCTCGCTTATTCGTAAGATTTTGCTTAAATATTTTAATAACTATTACAATGACGATGATTTAATTTAGATGCTTTATATGTGGTCGAATTTACTATTCGATTGGTTTTTTGATTCAACATTATGCAGATGAACATCCAACGGTACGAGACATTTACCCTTGCATCGAATGCGGTTATTATGCTCAAAGTTTCACTCAGCTGAAATCTCATTTTCACACTCATAAATCAAGTGAAAGTTCTGATAGTTCTGATGATGAACCATCTCAAAAGAAAAAAAAATTATTCAGTAAATATGGGAAGAATGATGACTCACGAATGAAAGATCGAAAACATGGAAAGACTTATGCATGTCCTAAATGTAATCGAGTGTAAGTTTTTTTAAATGTAAATGATAAACATTTATTGAAATCTACATTTTTTAGGCTTCTAACAAAACAAGGCTGGGATTATCATCAACTTGTTCATGCTAATTCCAAACCATTTGCTTGTAACATTTGTGACGCATCTTTTCGATCCAAACAGACTTGTGATGAGCATCACAAAGCATGCCATTCCTAATTTTTTTCTTTTCTATTTTTACATTTTTACTCATCTCCAGATCAGTATTGAATTATTTTCCATTGATTGGTAATTTTATTCAATAAAAATATGAATTGAAAACGTAACTTTATTTGATAGTGAAATTTATTTAAAAGAAAAACACTTTTAACATGGTTGTCAAACAACTAAAGGCTCACACGCATGGGGCTTTAAACAGCTGGTCGTGGCAATCGATCGTTTTGCAGATAATCGTAATGAAGCTGCAGATCTAATTATTTTTTATTAAGCGATGATACATTTGACGATTATACATTTATGAGTGAAGATAAAGATTTATTCACAACTTCACATCAATTAGGATATTTTTGCTTTACATTGCTTACATAATAATTCTCATTTCTACATAACATTCAACAAAAAACTCAAAAATCGGTATGCTTGTATAACGACGTATGTGTACATTTCCAAATTTATTGATTTGATTCCCAAAAACGAATATTCCTTGTTGCGTTGTGCCATCATCAACATGAAAAGAATTTTCTTTTTTGATGAAATGCTTTGAATTTCATACCATTTTGAGCAATATATCGCTTCTTGGAACTTCTCACACTGATAAATATAAATTAATAATGAATAAAATTCTGTTTATTTATACCGAGATCATACAACTTACCATTGACGAAAGGATATTTCCAAAATGACAATAGAGAAATAATTGAAATAGCGCAGCTGCTAATGTCATTACTGAAACTAAATCAATTCCATTTTTAATATTGAATGATATCGAAACGATTAAACCATATGTCGAAAGAAGTTGATAAAAGCACATAGGATTAAAAACATTTCTCGAAAGTTCAATTAATTCAAGAACATGTAGATGTTTCCTGATTAGAATGGAAATACATTTTCCATCAGTTTTCCCATCAATTTTCAATGCATGAGAACCACATGTCGATAGCTTTGCAACACAATGAATAGTCACTAAGACAAAATATGAATCGAAACCTAGTTTCATGTGAAAATGTTTAATATTTTTAAAAGAAGGAAATTATTTTAGACTTACCAACAGCTAACACAAGAATTATAATTTGCCAAACAAGCAACACTAGAAAATTGATTTCCTGCGATGGATGCAAGTTCGGACTGAATATTGCATAACTTAGATTATTACAGAAACTAACAAAATTTTCTCAGCCTTACCTGTTCCAAGTTATCTGAACATTAAATGCCAGTATTATCGGTTTTGAAGAAACTGTTGCCCATAAATTTGTGATGGCACTTATAAATGCTGTAATAGCGTAGATAAATGCAAATACTGACAGGAACACTCTTATGAAAATTCGATAACTTTTTTCAATTTCCATTTCATCATTAGTCGTATTCCGAATATCATCAACAATTTTTTCTCTCATTTTGGAAACAGAGTCTGCTTTCATGCAGATGACAGCAATTTTCGTAGCAATCTTATAAAAAATTAACTTTATTTCTTATATTTCAAAAGAGAATGAAACCTTAGACAGATTACCTGAAATGAAATAAGGGCCGCAGTGGTTGCTGTAAATTGTCTCGTTCTGTCGTACAAAAAATCTTCAAAAATATTCTTTACATGAATAATCGACCAAAATAGGAAGAAAATTGTAGCAAAGATTAAAATTTTCTTTGGCACTTTCCCACTACGATTGAAAATATCTAGAACTGTGAAATTACAAAATGAAAGAACGATGTCAAACAAATTCTGATATTTAGCTGATATTTAGAAATCTTACAGATAATCTTGAAAAGCTTTTCAATAAAATTCAATTCCAATTTATAATCCAAATCATTGGTCAATGTTTTCTTAAGTTTTTTCTTGATTTCTCCAAAAGAACACTTTAAGCGATCCATTTTGAAGAGATATTAAATAAGAACTGAATTGAGTTTCATATATTTTTTTAGTACTTTCGGTGTAAGAAATAAAATCGTCATGTTACATGTTGCCAATGACAAGTTTCGTGTGAATTTAGTAATATTAATTATATATGCGTTTATTATTTAACTTTCTTTCAACACCGTATAAAGCTTAAAACTTTGAAAGTGTGATGTTATAAGAGCTCCTTGACGTCAACCACCATATCAGTCGTCGAGACGAATATATGTAAAAGTTTCAAGAAGCTACTAGAAACATGCGGGTTGCTACAAAATATTACTTTCTTAACTTTTATTTATTAGGTATGTACCTAATTAATAATCAATGATGTGAAGTTCATGAAAAGAAATTTGTGGAAATATTCACATTTGCTTCAAGGAGGTGATTATGACAGCTTATTGAGATCAGTGTTGTGTTTAAAATTTTCTATTTAATCTAATTAATTTCTCCTAGATAATAACATAAACCGGCAATTTAATTTCAAAATTGATGTTTAAGCAATTATGTTACATAAAACTAACAGAAATAAAATTACTTCATTACAGAACTCCAAATAAAAAATTTATAAAACCAAAGGCTTGTTTAATGACATTTGCAAAATTTCCCAAGTTTATAGATTTGAGTTCTGATGCAGAAAATTCCTTTCTAATCTGAGGTATTTTCTATTTCTTTTCGCTTCGAACAGTAAGCTGACTTTTCAAACTGTTCACAATAATGAAGGAAGTTAATTCAATATAATATACATATTAATTAACTTTTATTTTCCAAACACTTACCATTGCAATGGTAATACCAATGCATTGATGATAAAATATTTCCCAGGAAGAAATAAAAGAAGATTTGGAAAGGCTATCAGAGTCATGATGGTTCTATGGGATCTAAACTTATTCTTGTTCTAAATGTAGTGCTTGTAACTGATCCAAATGCAGATAGAAGCTGATAAAAGTACATCGGATTAAGTAAATTGTTTAAAATTCGAATCATTTCAAGAACACACAAATATTTCTCATGCAATGTCACTATGAATTTATCGTTTATTTCGCTATTGATTTGTGATGCTTAAAACCAATCAACTACCTAATTACTTTCCTAAACAATCAAAAGTCACTATGATGAAAAATGAATCCAGACCTGATAGAATTAATTTTTCTTATAATTCATTTTAAATCAAAAATGATTTTCCCTCACCAACAATCAAGATGAGTGCAATGGCTAGGTAGCCAGAAAAGAATCATGAATAGATTTATCTTGTGTAAGGTGGATGTGTGCCGGGCCTGTTGAATACTTTTTAAGAATTATTCAATAAAAAGAGTTATAATTGGGATGTGAACCAAATACCTACTTTGTCCAAGACATTTGCATGACATTTGCATGTGAATGAAAAGAATAAACTAATGTTGTTGCATTAATGAAAATTTTGACAAGCTTTCGATATTTCTTTTCAATTTCCATATCTTCTTCAGATTCACTGATGACATCTTCAAGTAGGTATGATCAATTTTATTCTGCATACAATTTTACTCTTTGCTCAAAATATCAAAATTTTCATATAAATCTGCTTAAATAAATGACATTATAAAATTAATGTTGCACAATTTAATTAATTTATAAGTCAAAATATTGATGAGCGGAGATTTAAAATAACGAGCAAATATTCAAATTTTATATCCGAACAAACTCAACAAATGTTAGTCGGATCAAAATATTAACCTCAGCCCTATTGTTGCTTCTCAAAATTGGATAAATATTGTTTTTAAATTGCTAAAAGTTATTGAATTTAAAATAAAACGTAATAATTTAAATATTATCAATGTGAACATGGTGAAGCGTTGTTCAGCTAAAAATTGTTATAATTCTCAATTGACTCATAAAATAGCATATTTCGGATATCCAAAGAATGAAATAGCGTAAATTTATTTTCACTTGGAATAGTTAATTGTAAATACAATATTGCTATTGTTTTCAGAGCACGGAAATGGGCGAAACTAGCAGGAAGAGAGGACATCTTAAACAAGAAGTTAGATAATATTACAAAGTATTACCTTTGCAGTGATCATTTCTCAAGCGACGCATTCAGCAATCCTGAGACGGAAGACAAATCATATCTTAGACTCAACAAAACTTTTTCGATTCCAATTCCGACTATTTTTAAAGATAATTTAATGGAGAATGTTAAAAGTGTAGTTGAGCATCCTGAAAAGTTTCAAAAATACTCAAGAAACACTGCTGGCGATAAAACGATTAAAAGCATAAAAAGATCAAATCGAACATCTTCTCTTAAGAAAAGTTCAACAACTCCAGAAAAACTGAAATTTAATTATAATGTTGGAGAAAAAAAACCACAGGAACTTACATTTGAAGAAGAAGTTGTAGAAGAATATTTAGATTATACATATGAAGAGATTGACATAAAGAGAGAAGACAGCGATGAATCCTACTGTCGATTATGTGCAAAGAATGTCAATAATCTCACTTTAATTTTTCAAGATGATGGCGATTTCTATCCATGTACCGACTGTTTAAGACTTTTGCCAATGATTCAAAAAGATGATGGACTCCCTCAATATGTGTGTATGGAATGTCTAGAAAAATTACAAAGTTGTGCTGACACCTTAAATGGTTTTGTATTAAATCAAAATTTATTTTGTGTCTGAATAAATAAAATATTTATTTTCTATATTTCTTTTTGGCATTTTCATTAGAATTTAAGAGGCAATTTTAAGTCTTGTAGAATTGAATTTGAAAATTGTTTATCTAATCATGTTTGTCAAAGTTTGGTTTTCTGCTTCTCCTTGGAACGCTGATTGTAATTATGGCAAATATCAATTTGATTTGATGGTTGAAACCAATTCATGAATTTCAAAATCAGATGGCAAAGGGAAACGACCAAGAGATAAAGATAAAAACCACTTCGTGATAAAATTGTCTTCATAATATCTTTCAACGTCTTTTCAGGCTCATCAAGAACTTTTTTATAAACTTTTTCTGTTCTTATTGCTACATCAGTCCAATTATATAATTTTGAAACAATTTGATTTATTTCGTATGGACAAACAATTTCATTATCGTAGATGATTCCTTTCCTATGTCGTATAATTTTTGCTATCGTCTCTTCCAAAGCTAAGATTAAAGACCTGACGTCAGGTGATGAAAGTATAACATTGAGATATTCTGGTAGAACTTCAGGAACACCGCCGACCTTCGTTGATACAATGTGAAGACCAACAGAACATGCTTCGACAATTGCCATGCAATACGCTTCTGTTAGTGAAGTGTTTAAGAAAATATGTCCACATGTTAGAACATCACGAACATCAGAATGCTCAAGCGCTCCAAGCATTTGAATTCGATCTTGCATGTTATTTTTTTCTCTGATTTCTTCAAGTAATTCTCTCTTTGGACCATCACCAGCTATGATGAAATTAATGTTTCGTTGATGTTTAAAGTATGGAATGATTCCAGCAAGTAAATCGATTCCTTTTCTATAAACAAGACGAGAAACTATGACGATTGTAATGATATTTGTGTCAGGCGAAGCTCGATTTCTAGGATTTGGTATAAATTGAGATGCATTGACAGCATTCGGAATCACAGAAACACTTGATGCTGGCATTCGAGCTCTGAGAACAGTATTTTCTTTTCCTGTGTGTGACACACAAATGCAATGATTGGTGAAAGCCAAGCAAATTTGAAGAAATTTATTTGTCACAACAGCAGAGAGGTCAGCAAATCCAAAAAGACTGTGATCAGTGAAAATTGCTCTTAATCCCATCAATACTCCGACTTGCATTGCTTCATGTGCTAGAGCGGAAAACGCTGAATGTCCATGAACAATTTGTATTTGTTCTCTGATAAAAATATTTCTTAAGATTGGAATATTGCAGATCATAGTTGGAAGAATGCATTGATTATAGAACACTCTGATCGGTAGATAATAAACTTTAAGTCCATTTGTCATGTACCGAATTCCTTTTCGATTACCATACGAATGAGTAATTATGATAACTTTGTGTCCACGAGCTAATAAACATTGTGATAAATTGTAAATATGTTCTTCAACACCGCCATGATTGGGAAAGAAGAAATCTGAAGCTAAACTGTAGAATTTTCTCTTTAAATTGTTAATTTAATATATTGTTATTTACTTACCAGATATTCATTTCTATTTAATTTTTCACAAAATTCTTGTGCGCTGGAAACATTTTGTAGGGTTGAGTCAAGGACTTCGAAAAATTCAAGAATTAATTTTCAATAACAAGTTCTTCAACCCTTGTTATTCCCGCGCTCGAATCAAAAAAACATCGTACAAAATTAATGCTTTTAATTGTAAAATAAACAATGATAAAACTAAACAAATTAAATTCAAGTGATGTAGAATCTGATAACGTTAGTATATTGATCAATTTCATCTTTAAAATGTAATAAAATTGTTTTAATTATAAGGAATCGCGATTGTCAACAAATGCTTCTGAAACTTCAACAAATGCATCAGCTTCGGCTCAAAGAAGCTCAGCAAAAGCAGGAAGAAGAAAATCAAAAGGCAAAAATAATGCCAATAAACCTATTATGAGTCTTTATCGTTTCAATTGTTTTGTGACAGAAGAAAATGCAAAACAGATCTTTGCCGTACAATTTAATCATTTCATGAAGGATCGAAATATTTTTGCAACAGCGTCTGGTTATCGAATCTCTATTTATGAATGTATTGAACCTAAAGATTCTGAAGATGAAGGGATTGAAGATGATGAAGATTTCTGTGGAATAAAACTTTTGAGAGCTTACGATGATCCTGATCGAGATGAAGTTTTTTACACACTTGCGTGGAGTTACGAAGAAAATGGATCATCAATAATAGCATGTGGTGGTGTTCGTAGTGTAGTCAGGATAATTTACTGCAATGGACCAGGCTTACATGAGAAGAAATTCATCGGTCATAGTGAGTAAACGATAAACATTGTTGCAAGTTCATAATGATAAGATTTAAATTTCTAGCGAACGCTATAAATGAATTAAAATTTCATCCGACACAACCGCACTTGCTACTGACAGCTAGTAAAGATCATTCCATGCGATTATGGAATGTCAAAACTGACATTTGTGTCGCAATTTTTGGAGGAGTTAGTGGACATCGTGACGAAGTTCTTGCGATTGATTTCGATGTTCAAGGAAAACATGTTGTATCTGGTGGTATGGATCACAATTTAAAGATCTGGAAGCTTGAAACGGATGAGCTTCAAACTGCAATCGACGAAAGTGCTACTTATTACGATGTGCGTCGTGTCAGATCATTTCCAACTTTACACATTCACTTTGCAGATTTCACAACGAGAAGCATTCATCGAAATTATGTTGACAGTGTTAAATGGTTTGGGAATACATTTCTCTCCAAATCTTGTGAAAACAGCGTGATATGGTGGAAGCCTGGAAACCTTAACGAACCAGGTTTAAATCTTAACAGCACAAACTCAACTCCCATTCACACGTTAGACGTCGATGACTGTGAGTTGTGGTTTGTTCGGATGGATCTTGATATGAGTCAACGATTTCTTGCTGTTGGCAATTCGGTTGGTAAAATTTTTGTGTTTGATTTAGAATCAGACACGCCAAATATTAAACCGAATATAATGTCACATTATAAAGCAACAAAAGCCATCCGACAAATTGCGTTCTCAAGAAACAGTGACATTCTAGTTGCATCATGCGATGATGGAAAAATATGGCGATGGGACAAACGAGATTGAATCTCTAATAACAAACTTAAAGCTGACAAATTTTTAATGAATAAAAAACAAAATTCTCTGATAATATAAAATTCTTTGAAGAAATACATGAGCTGACCTTGTTCTCTTAATTGTCGTGTGAATCATTCTCAAACAAATCTTATTCGTTTTTCATCGATCGGACAAAGTTCACAAATTTTACATTTTTTACAGTTTAAAATTATGATTGAAATGAATCGTTTCGATAAGATTTTATCTCGATGAAGCGAGATACTTTATTGATGGAAATGTCCAAATATTTCTTTCAACAAACAACTAAATTAATCACATGTTGAAGTCCATTGACTAGAACTTGTTGTGTTAATAGTTTCTTGATTTGTTTACGTTTCTTCATCATGCTGACAGCATTTCGTTCTCTCCACGCACATTTTACTCTCTCATCACATTGCATCATCGTTTGATTTCATTCAACAACACAATCAAAAACGTCTTGTAATCATTTCTCCTTTCTTTGTGCTTTTCTTTCTTTCTTTTTAATGAACTTGATTTTCGAGCCGGTTTAATCAGTCCACAAATGCCGTCAGATGGAGGGGAAGAAAATTAATTAAGTCATTAACTTTGTCTGGTGTTGAGAACATGAAAAATCATTTCAGGTTGACTGTAAGAATTTTGTGGATTGATAAAAACACTTGCGGTCAACATTGCTTTCCTTCAAAACCACATACTATCAAAGAAGATTGAATAGAATCATCGCGACATAATTCCCATAAATCCAGCTCTGTTCATCGTTTGTTGGTGTAGTCGAATCAGTTAGAATTAAAAATTCACAGAGAAATTCTCAGTTTCAGTGCGATTTCTCAACGCTTCAGACGTCGTTTGTTGTATTATCATTTAAATCTCGAATAAAATTCTTTCGTCGCGTTCAATTGCGTGATTGACTTCAGTTCTTTTGAAATAATAAAAATAACGTGAAAAATAAACAGACGGATCGTGAAAAGTTTTGCAAAAAGTTTCCTCAAACTATTGAGAAAAGTTGTTGACATACTTTCCTTGTTGTCTCCGTGCAATTAAAGCCACTTTTGTTAATCGTGAAGAGCTCGTTTCTTCATCAGACAGAAAACATAAAATTATGAAAATCTTTTGCATCGCTGCAATATTTGTTACAGCAGTGTCGATTGTCACAGCTGATTACCGAGGCACAGAAATAGTCATGAATATTCTAACGTCATTTTTGACAACACCAACATTTGAAAAGGAGACAACAACTGAAGCTTCAGGTATACTTCCTAAGATTTTAAATCCACTTCATTGGATTCCAAATTTTGAGGATATTCCTTGGTCGCCTGATTCCGAACTAACCACGGTAGGTCTAACAAATCTACAAACAAAAATTTGATTTATTAATTCTGTCGTTAAAATAATATCAGCCTGAGATTGCAACTCGTCACGGATATTTATCAGAAACTCACACGATTATAACTGAAGATGGTTACATGCTGAATATTCATCGAATTCCATGTGGACGATCAGGATGTGGTGATGGCGAACGACAACCAGTTTTTCTTCAACATGGAATTCTAGCGAGTTCGGCTGATTGGGTCATAAGTGGGCCAAACAAGGCACTTGCATTTATTCTAGCAGATTTGGGTTATGGTGTGTTGATCAAAGACTAAACTTTACAAAATTCATTAAAAGATTTCTTAATAATTTCTCAGACGTTTGGCTTGGCAATGCCCGAGGCAATACTTACAGTCGTCATCATGTAAGCATGTCGAACAGCGATAAGAAATACTGGGATTTCAGTTTTCATGAAATGGCAATCTATGACATTCCAGCGGAAATTGATTTCATTTACAGTCATAGGAAAAGTAAATTGTCATCTTTTATTTCAACATAATTAAGTTTCAATTTAATTGATTCTTTTCAAAGGAACCCTTGGTGTTAATTTCACTGAAAATAATTTAATTTACATTGGACATTCGATGGGAACAACGATGAACTTTGTGTTATTAAGTGAGAAGCCAGAGTACAACGAAAAGATTAAACTTTTTATTGCTTTAGCTCCAGTTGCTTTCATGACTCACATCAAATCGCCGATAAGGTTTCTTGCTCCTTTTTCCAAAGACATTGAGGTAAATGATTTAAAATCTTTTCATTTTCAATTCAAATCGAACATGACATAAGACGAAAAAAAATTAAACTTTCAAGTTTAGCTTCCGATTGATTTTTTGAACAAGAAATTAAAAATTCCCGAACAATGGCAACGACAGTTTGAAGGAATATCGAATGAACTGTGGAAAAAGTTTTCGTTGAAATTCTTGGTGAGTTTATGTAATTTTGAAGTCTTTAAATTTCTTCTAAGTAAACGAAATTCTTTCATCTGGTGTGTTGTGGTTTAATTTTCTTTCTTGTCTGGTGTCGGTTTGGTATTTAAATTGAATTCAAAATTAAAATTTCTTTGTCGTCACTTCTATTTTTCAGTCAATTATGAAATTCTTTGGACAGAATGAATTTTTGCCTCAGAATCGTATCATTAAATGGCTTTCAAAATATGGATGTGAATTGAATGAAGCTGAGAAATATATTTGTGAAAACACGGTATTTGTTATTTGTGGGTTTGATAAGGAACAATACAATGCAACTTTAATGCCGGTTATCTTCGCGCACACTCCAGCAGGAACATCAACAAAGACTGTCGTTCACTATGCACAGGAAATTCATGAAAGTGGAAATTTCCAAAACTTTGATTATGGACCAGAAGAGAATTTCAATCGCTATGGAAATGAAGTTCCACCCACTTACAATCTTCAAAACATTGCAACACCTGTCGCTTTGTTTTACGCTCAAAATGATTGGCTTGCTGGTTATCAAGATGTGAAGAAACTTTACCAGAATCTTCCAAGTCAATCAACAAAAGCTCTCATTAAAGTTGCTTTAGATGAGTTTAATCATGTTGACTTTCTATGGGGCATTGATGCACCAGAACTTGTTTATGCTAACATGTTGGAAATTATGAATAAGTATAAATAAAATGTAAACGAGATCATAAATGATTAATCGACTTTTTTTTCTTTACTTTTAAATTTTCGTTACCAAGCAACGAATTTAGTTGAATTTATTTATTTTCATGGAAGAGTTTCCGGAACTTTCTTTATTTCTTATCAATTTATTAAATCGCTAATATGTCGAGTTCAAGCAAAGTTGATAAGCGAACATTACTTCAAATCTACGACATTCCCATTGAGTTTCTTGACTTTGAATATATCAATGGATGTAACGATGGTAAAGTTCTTGAAAAAGTTGTGAAAATTTTACGATCTGGTGAGGAAGGTTTCTATCCAGACCTCACGAAACATGCTGAAGAAAAATTGAAGTTGATTAAACCTGACAGTAAACTTTTTTGGACCGAATTTCCCGTATTGAAAAAAGAAACTTTGGGTGAAGACAAACAAAATGAAATTGAGGCTGAAATGAAATCTTGGATTAGTGACATGAAGAAACAAGATAATATCGTAAAACAAATCGACGCTACATCAAAACCACAACCACCAATTCGTCAAGTTAAGGTTGAGACAATCAACAATGAAACAATGAAATCAAAAAATTGTCACAGAATCAAGTCAACCGATTACTCAAAATGGGATAAATATAATGTCGACGATGCCATACATGAAATTGAAATAGCAGAAGAACGACAACTTGAGTTGATAGAAGAGAAGAACAAGAAAAATGCTGAAAAGACGAAATTAATCGAAGAGATTGTCGATGATGAAGTCGATTGTCTTAGCGACTTTGAGAAAGATTACCTGGCGATGAAACTAAAGGAGAAAGGAAACGAATGTTATAAAGCTAAAGATTATGATGAAGCGATTAAAGAATACACGCAAAGCTTGAGAATAAAGAAAACTGCTGCGGCTTTTAATAATCGAGCTCTTGTCTGTAAGTTTAAAAATTTATCGTTCATACTTTAATTATTTTTTTTGTACATCACTTTCAGATCTCAAACTTAAGAAGTTCTTAAAAGTAATTTCCGACACCAACGAATGTTTAAGAATTGAACCTGAGAATATCAAAGCTTTGATTCGTAAAGGAGAAGCATTCATCGGTGAAAGTATGTTGAATGAAGCACGCGATGTCTTCGAAAAAGTTCTCGAAATTGAGGTGAACAATAAAATTGCACAATTGGAACTTGCAGCATTAGACAAGAAACTTCCACCAAAAAATGCTTTTCGAATGAAGATTGAAGAGATCAACGACGATGAAGACGTTAAAAAGCCGATTAAGAAAATTATCAAAAATTCAGGAAAACTTGAAGTTTCTGACACTAAAAATGTTCCAAAATTGGTTCAAAATATTTACGTTGAAGAACCGACACCATTTGATAAGCTGATAAAGAAAGAAAGCAAACCACGTGAGAAACTGATTCTTCCTAATGAAAATCAAAAGAAAAAATGCAGTCCAATGATACAAGAAATATTTTAAAACTTTAAATCGTATTTACCTAGTATGAAAATAAATAATGCGAAGGAATAAAAATATTCACAACTTAGTCAAAGAGTTTTGTTTGTAAAACCGATTCAGAGAGTTCAACCCCCAACACATCCCACGCAAATGAAAATACTCCTACAAAGTTGAACTGTTGACGACGTGTTAAATTGAGATTAATGAAATCAAGGTTGTCATTGTTTATGCAAATAATCTCTTATATCGATGTTTTAATTTAGAATCTACTAATTGATGTTAAGACTACGTACCAGCAGACAAAATATCAATGGAAGTAATTAAATTATTGTTTTTGAGTAAAGTATTTAAGTCATTGCCATTCATTGTCAGATGGAAAACGATTGCATTGAATTTTAAAATTATATTCTTCACACATTTCAAACGAGCTCCAACTGTTTGATTGATTGATAAGAGAAGGATGTCGAAAGATATAAAAGCAAGCATCATGTGTTGTTATTCTCATCAGTTGCTTGACTATTCTCAACTGGATAAAATCCAATATTCGAAGTGATAAAAGGAATAGTGAAATAAGATGTTGAAAACTTTGGTCCTTGGTGGTTTTGTGATTTTGGTTGCATTCATCGTTGAAAATGTGCATTCAGTGCATTTAAATGAAGTGATGACAACAGTTTAATTCTTATAAATGCTAACACATTAAAAGAATTTTTTCATTTAAAGGAGTTCAGTGTGGGCACAAGCTTGAATAAATATCTTTGGTCACCTAAAGATTCTGCTGACGATGATTCTACAACAAAAGGTCAAAAGCGAACTGCTCCCGTGTGGTTTCTTCGAACTGGGAAAAGGTGACATGAAGGAAACAAAAACTTTCAATTCGTGGTTAATTGATCTAATTAAAATAAAACTTTACAGAAGTCAAACAGCTGAAGGTGATAATTTGCCACCTGAAATCTTGGAGATTTTAGAGAAAGTTCAAAAATCGCCGGAATTACAAAATATTCTGCTTGAAAAGTTGAATCTTGAAGGATTACTGCCATTGATTGTATACCTTCCTAATAATCGTAAGTTTTACACAATGAAGCTTCAGAAATTATCGTTGAATTCATTAACAGATCAACATGACAGTAATTTAATGATGCCACGATTTTCTCGAGACGCCCCAGATTTGAATCAGAATTTAAATTCGCGTCCATACCCACCACGTTTTGGACGACAATTTGGCGGTCTTCCACCGTACCTTCCCCGACTTGGTCGGAGTGCTGGTGACTCTGAATAATTTTTATTATAAAAAATTAAGACAAAAATTCATAAAGAAAGTAAAATTTAAGAAAGAAAATTCTTATCGAAGAAATTTAAATTGGCTGGGAATTTCTTCAGATAAAATGGATTTTTTTTTAATTTACTTCTTTAAGAATTTTAAAAATCTAAACATTTTATAAGCACATGTTCTCTCTGTAAATATTAAAAAGAATTATCAAAATATTTCTGTAATAAAACTTTATGCAACTCAAAAAGGTTTTGTTTTCTACTTTTTATTTTGGTCTCCACCCACGCAACATAAAATAGAAATTCTTTCTATGGCAACGATTTTGTGACAAACAATAAAGAAAAAAAATTGCTTTATGGTTTTATGAAATAATTTGTGAAAATGACGGAAAACTTAAAATCAATTGTTCAAGCTGTTAACAAATGTTTGAAAACCGATTACAATTTGATATCTTTTGACTCGTTATCAGAAGAAACTTTACTTCAAGTTCTGTTGGATGTTTTTCAAGAGTTTGGAATTGTGAATGGAAAGGTGAGAGTTGAATCAACCAAATGGTGAATGAATTGAATTTTTTATGAATTATTCGTAGTGGGATGTTAAAGAAAATGATCCCGAAGAAACGAACAGGATTATTATGGAAAGTTTGACTAAGATTCAGTATACTGATGACTCAATGGACATTCCCGAATTGCGTCGTGGATTGGTTCGTGGTGATAAAAGATTTTTATTTCCCATTTTTGAATGGATATTTGAGAATGAAGATTTGATTACGAAACTTGCTTATTTGGCAAGGTAAATGAGAAAATTATTCAATCACAAATATTATAAAGAAATTAATAATATATTCGCTTGTCACAGATTTCTGATGCCCCTCAACCTCCCGCCCGAAGCAATTTCTATTCCCGAAGTTGTGACTCTGTTCTCTCAATATGAAATTTCAATGGATGAGTTTAAAAATTCTCATCAAAATTACGAATTTTCTGTTCAAGAAAGTAAGAAAACTCGTGAACTTCGCAGTGATTCGATTGCAATTGAAGGTGAAATTGAAAATGTTAAAAAGAGAATTGAACGACTTCAAACAAGATTGGATAAAGTTCCACAACAAGAATTATTGCTTGAAGCTGCGAGAAGTTTGCGAATTGAGAAAGATCAGCAAAGAGAATTGCAAACTCAGATTGATGAACAAAAGCAGGAATTACAACGTGCAAGTGTGTTGAGTGATCGATTGCAGAAAGAATATCACAATATTCGAATAACAACTCAAGGAACTTCACCACAGCAAATGTTGGATGCGATCATTGAAGAAACTCAAGTTCTTGAGTTTATGGTGAAGCAGAAGCTGCCTCAAGAGTTGCTGGGTCGCCAAACTGAAGTTCAGATTCTTCAAGAAGTCATCGATGAACCAAACATTTCTCGTGACTATCTTTCTAACCTTCAGTATAAAGTTGATGATGTAAGCAAAGAAGTTCAGCAAATGGTTGAAACCAAAATGAAAGATAAAAGTCAACAAAATGACGTGCTTGGGCTTGGACCATTCCGACAACAAACTGCATTAATAGCAAGAAACAAAGAAGTTGCAGCTGAACAATTGGATCAATTGACAAGAGAGTTGAATGACGTTGATAATCAATTGAGAGACAAGCAACAGAAGCTGCAAGAAACTGTTGGCGAAGTTATTTTAAGAGGCGATGATTTGAAGCAATTTGTTAACACTTTAAGAGCTAAAAGTAACATTTACAAGCAACAACGTTCGGAATTGGCATCAGTCAAAGCTGAATCAAATGATTTAATGGAAACTCTTGAAGGTCTTCGAGCTCAAGATCCAACACTAGCTACAAATGATGAAGACCCAAGTTCACTTGAAGCAATGGTTTCGCGTCCTGATTCACCAGTTGAGTCACGTGGAGTTACAGAACTCTCACGTCTAGTTGATGGCTTGCAGCGTGCTGTGATTGGAGCGCGCGAAAAACTCGCACCAATGTCCCAACAGCTGCGTCCATTGCGTGAAAGAATTGCCGAATTGAAAGACGAATGTGATTCAAAGAAACAGGTCAGTGAAAACATTTCTTCTACCTGCACATTTTTGCTTGTTTCTTCTTTCCACCTTCGCATCAGCTATTGAAAGTGCAATTTTTGCACTTTGACAAAAACATTGAACTTTTTTCTCTTCTTTTTTACAACACTGCAATGCAATATTTACTTAAATATCCACAAATGCAATTTAGTGAATTGTCCTTTTGTGAATTGGTGAATAAGACAGCAAAGAAGCATATGTAGGTGGAATTTATGTTGAAACATAAAAAAAAGGAAGTTTCAACGACAGGGAGAATTAAAATTTTTTTTGTGAAATGCCGTGTCGATCGAAGGTTGTTGGGGGAAAAAACTTACTTCAAGATATGTGAGGTAGAAGATAATAAAATTTAAAACTACAATTGAAGTTGTTATGTAGTCAACTGAATGTTGTTATGTAAATTGTCTTTAGTTTCTTACAAACTTTAAGCATCCCTGAAAGTAAATTCGATATGTTACTGTGTAACTGTTTATGTACATAAATACGAATCTCGATCTACATGAAATTCTCTGTTCGTGTTTTCCTGGTTGAATAGTTTCGTATAAAAGAAAAATGAGAACGAATGACAGAGCAAAAGAAATTCGAGAAAAATAGGAAACATTGAGAGATGATCGAAGAGGCTGCAAGAAGCAAACATTATTGATTCTTTTACGATCCTTCAGACTCGTATTTTTCTACCTACCGAGAATCGGGTTGCAACAGCAAATGCATTTCTATCCCTCCTAAAGAATCGTTGAGGGAGAATTTCTTGAGTTTTTGTTCAGTTCTTGTTTAGTTGTCGACGAGTTACATTCTTAAAAATAAATATTCTAAAAGTTTGATGAATTTTCATAATCATGTTCATCAACCAGTTTCAGCATTTAAGCGATCGACTATTTGTGAATAAAATTGTGACTGTGAAGACGTCACCGAAACCAAAACGCGATATTGCAAAGAGGGTTAACAAAACTCTGCGTAGAGTTGTAAAAATTAATTTACTAAATGTACTCAACAACACTTTAACGCGTCCATTAACAGCAAAGAATAAAATTAAGCATAAAGAATTAATTGAGTTAAGGAAATCTAAGATTAAAGAAGAATTTCATGGGGGATCGCCAAGTAGTGCAGATAATTCTTTTAATAAAGAAAATATGAGTCCGAACTCAACTAACGTACGATTCATTGAATTCTCGTCGCCATCTACCGATTCGAGTCCCAACACCAAGCCAAGTTTGCGTCAACAATTATTGGAATTCGCTCAAAAACACAACCCAAAGCCTGAAATGTTTGAAGATCTTCTCAACATCATGAAGACAAATGGGTTGAGAATTCCGAGAAGTCCCGAAAGTTTCTTCGATAAGAAATTCGACGTTGTGAAGCTTTCATTTGGTTCATATTTGAATATTGGAATTGAACGTGGAATTAAAAATTATTATCGACCAGGTTTAATAAGGAAGCCAATGTCGCTTGTGACATCATCTGATGATTCACTTGAATCGTCTCAACCACCCGAAACTCTTCTTTTAGATGTCGCCGTTTACATTGTCAAATCGAATCCTTGCAATGGTCTCACCGTGCCGCAATGTATGATCATCTTTGGCAGAATAAACTGTCAAGTTTTTGATGATCCATTTGTGATCGGAATCTACTATGGGTCATTTCCAACGCCAACGATTGGTAATGAAATTATGGGAATGTTTGTGAGTGAAATGGAAATTCTTCAAAAGAACGACCTCGTCATTGGAGGTAATCAAGTTTTTCGTGTAAAGTTAAATGCTATTGTGAGCGATCCCATTTCCAATAGTTTAATTACTTGCACTTCATTGCCGAGTTCACTTTACGGCTGCAGTAAATGTAATCAAAAGGCTAATCTTGAAATTGATAATGGATATACGAGTTTTCCAACGACAATGACACTTGCAACTTTAAGATCGGATGATGATTTCAAATATCTTCTTCCTAATGATCATCACATCGCTCAACCAACTTTAGCTCAACTTGATCTTGGACTAATCTCACAATTTGTTTTGGATTATAAGATCATTGTTTGCAAAGGTGTTATGAAGCAAATGATGAATCTTTGGGTGAATGGTCGTCTTGATTATCGCTTGAATAAAGAAACACAACAAAAAATTTCACGAGATTTGATTATGATGAGTGGAAATTGTCCGAGAGAGTTTGTTAAACGACCAAGAACATTGGAAGAGATTTCGTTGTGGGATGGCGATGATTGGAATGAATTTCTGCTCTACTACTCACCGATTGCTTTAAAAAGTCGAATGGCTCAAAAATATTACATTCACTTTCTTTATCTTCATCTTGCGATGAGAATTCTCATGACTTCAGATGGTTCGAATGCTGAAGCTAACTCGTTTATCCTGGGACAACTTCTGAACACTTTTCTTGCTGATTTCACGACACTTTATGGCAACGATAAAGTTGACTACAATATTCACAATCTTCTACACTTTGAACAGATTCAACAGAAGCTTGGGAGTCTTAAGAAGCTTAATGGGTTTGTGTATGAAAGTCAAATCAACATGATGAACTCGTTCTTAGATGCATCAGTGGAAATTAACATGGAAGAAATTGGAGAAAAAATAATTGAAAACACAAACGTTATGGTTGAAAATAAAATTAATGAATTAATTAACACTTCATATCCTTTCGTCGATGCGAAAGGTGAATTAGTTTTTAAAACTTTTACTATTTCTGTCTTTGAGCCCGACAATCACGTGATAATGCGCGATGCTGTTGTCAAAGTTGAAGCGATTTGTAATGACACAGTCAAACGAGAAATTATAATCATTGGGCGACGTTACGAGCGTGTCGAGATTATGTTTCAAGCACCACTTTCAAGTCAAAGACTTCTTCATGTGTCGTCACTGTCACCACATCATACATTTAAGCTTTCAGATTTTGTTTGTAAAGCCGTTAAGTTTGATCATCCGAAAGATGGAATTTTCATTCAATCACTCATAACATGATTTCATCTTTGTTTTATTTTTTTTGTACTCCTTTTAGTTCAATTTGTTAGTTAATTAAATATTTTTTTGTTTGAGAATAAATCAAAATTGCAACATAAAAACATTTCACTGTTTAAATTTTCAATATCGCTGAAATCTTTTCCAGAATTTTGATGCATTAAATACTCAACTTAGCTCTGAAACTGCACAACTTCAAGCTGAATATATTGAAACTGAAAAAGAATTGAAAAAGCTCGAACAAAAATGGCAAGATTTGAAATTGGATTACGACAGAGCGGAAATGTTGTTGGAGAAAGCGAGACTGGAGAGTGAAGGTTCACCAAGAAGTCGCAGAAGTAATGAAGGAAAAACTGGTACACTCAAGGAAACTTTAACATTGCAATTGCGAGAACAGGAAAATATCTACTCAAAGTTGAAAACTGTAAGATTAAGGAAATATTCTTATTTAATTTAATGCATACACGAAACATATTTTGATTAATATCGATAATCATCGACCAAATATTTCTTAAAAATATCAAATTTCTCTTATTAAAAACAGGAACGCGATCACATTCAATCATCGAAAAATGATCGATACAAGCAAATCGAAATGTGGACTGACTTGGGTGAATTATTTGAGTTGAAAAAGAAATGCTATTTGGAAGCTAAGAAGCAAGGAATTGGCGGAACTTTGTCGTTTACAAACACATCAGAAACATTTACTTTACAATGATTTTATTTTTGTATGATCTTCACAATTAAGATTTGAATAAATTTCTAAGTTTTGATATCGCTTTGTGTTTCTTTAGCGACGAGATGTGGATAGAGTGTTGCAACTTGTCCAGGCGGTGTCGCGAGTCTTCCTGAGAAATCAATTCGTTTATTGGCAATCGCTTGTTCCTTTCCAATCATAATGTCAAAAAGTGTCAAAGTCGCTCGATGTTTCAATCCTTTATGACGCTCAATGGCTGGCGGTGACATTGGAGAATCAGTTGAAGAACGAAGCATGCTTGAAGATGTCACAGACGATGTTTCACCAAGATCAAGCATTTTTCTTAATCCTCCAAGTGCTGAATCAACTTCTTTCTCATTAGCATCAGGTGCTTGTGTTCGAACCTTTCTAATGCACTGTAGAACAGCTTTGTGACCCGCAGATTTACCATTCAATCCCACAATCACTTCCAGCTCATTCCACATCAACCGATATTGATCGTCTTTCTTTCCTTTTATTCTTTGACTGTTCAGTGTAAGTTCATGGCGTGTTTCAATTCCAACAAGTTGATAAATGCATTGTTGACATTGCAGAATTTCTTCTTCCGTTAAATCTTCTTTAGCAGTCAAAACTAGTAATGGCTCAACATATTGTCGAATACTGTACACAACTGTTGAGTTGAATGTCAATGGCCAATATTTTGTCATCTTTGCAATTTTTGCACGAACTTTGCCAAGGTTCTCATCAGGATATTTCATTTTTAAAGGTACTAAACGTTGTGCAAGTGTTGTCTGAACAAAGTCAGGAATACTATCAAAGGAAATATAAAAGATAAAAAGAAATTTTAAATTGAATTTTTCAAGTACTCACCGGTAATTGACAATTTTCCCTCCTACACCTTCAGAGATTGATGGTGAATCTTCCAAAACACTTCTTGATGTGTTCAGTGAATGAATGAAGATTTCACCTCCATGTGCTGACAACAAATGGCTTGTGATTTTACCTCCAGACTTTCTCGGCATTTCAAGTAGAACTGAACGACCACTGAGAAGAAAATTGATGAGACAAGAACTTGGACGTGAAGTGACATCAACAGGTGTGATACGATTTTGTGCGAGACAATGTTGCATTTCAGCTGCACCAGCACGTGGTGTGCACCATTTCAATGTGACAGTTTCATATTCGAATCCTTCTTTGACACTTCGCGGTAGAACAACTTCAGATCCAAAGAAGACTGAATGTGATTTTGCTTCGTGGAAGATTTCTACATCGTAATTAGCACTTGAACTTGAATTTTGTTCTTCTTTCATCGGAATACCAGTGACAGTGGTAGATGCCAAATTATAATGCTCTAAAATTAAACTCATTAAAACCTTGGGTAATTTTCCTGATGGATTTGAATGAATTTCTGATCTTAAGTTGGTGCTGACGTCTTGTGGTGGACGCGATGTAACCAGTGATTCCATTGTTGAAGGATAAAGGTTGATGATAACGAGATGACAGAAGTCAATAGGAAGAAGATCGTCATTTTTACCAGATATTGAATTTTGCTGGATGAGAACTTGACGAAAGATTTTCTCAAGACTGTTCATGCTTGGATTGTCACGAGCTGATGTAATGCAAATTACTCTTCCTCGATTTGAAACTCCACCTTCACGTTTCTCTTTTTGAAAATCAGCAGGTTCAGCAAGAGCTTCAATAGCGGTTTTCAAGCCATGTATGACTGTGTAATCGGATGTTTGTTGCGAGTTTCGAGGAGCGCCGACCATCGCCATAGCATTCAGAATGTGATTTAAATTTTGTGTGTGAATGTCCCAAGTATTAACAATATGAGCTGCTTTGTCAGATATTACAAATCGAATAAGTTTCCCTGTTGGAAATAAATCCCAAATTATCCGACAATATTCTATTGACGATTCTACCGACGATGTCCAAAGTGATTTCTTTAAAGAAATCTTTCCGCCTTTTAAATCTAGGAAAAAAGGATCTTCTCCAGATATTCCAAAATACGGTGTGTGATCAAGAACAAAAACAGTTTTCATATTTTCATCCATTTTTGTGGAGAGAGTCTTACTTATTAGTCAATTTTATTTTTTTTTTCGATTAGAATCAAAAAATTTTACTAATAGGGCGAGAGACGATATTATCAACTTTAAATTCGCTCTTTCATTTATATTTGAATTCGCCTTTTAGTGACAAGTGAATTTGCTCAATCGCCTGCGAAAAGGTAAACAAATAAAATCCTTCACAATAATTTCATAAATCTCCCTTCAAAATGCTTCGAAAAAAGCTTAAACTAAGTGCAAACAATGAAAATGATGATGAAACATTGAATGATTCAGTTCCCAACGTGCAATTACTTCAAAATTCTTATTCAGTGACATTTGAATTTGAATTTTGGGAAAAAATTTGGAAAGTAGAGCAAGAACTTGCAAACGAGTTGTCAAAGATTGATTTCAAATGCGATAAAAACATTGCGGCTGTTTACAATCCTCTTGACTATGCTGGAGATGTTCATAAGAATTTTATGAAGAAATATTTAAAGAAGTCTCCAACAGTTGTCTTCCTTGGCATGAACCCAGGATTGTTTGGAATGTGTCAGACTTCTGCAAGTTTGCTGACGTGGATTGGGAATACCTAATATTAATTTGCTTTTTTCTCTTTTTCAGGTTCCTTTTGGTAATGTTCCTTCTGTAAGAGATTGGATGAAAATTGAAGGAGTTGTGAATAAACCAGACAATGAAATAACAGCAAAACCCATTGAAGGATTCAACTGCAATAGAGAAGAACAAAGTGGTAAAAGATTCTGGGGTGTCCTGGAGGAACTTTGCGGTGATCCTGATAACTTTTTTCAACATTGCTTTGTATACAACATTTGTCCTTTGGCATTCCTCACGTCAACAGGTCGGAACATCACACCGCCAGAAATAAAAGTATTTTTAATAAATTTTATTGATGATTCAAAATATTATATGATTCTAAAATCTAGGGAGAAGGAAAATCGAAACTAAATACAACTTGTCTCAACTACCTCACACAAGCATTAAATATTTTAAATCCAAAAATCATAATCAGCGTTGGAAGTTACGCCAACGATCGAATCAAGGAACTGAAAAAGAAAAAACTTATTCCTGATACAATTGATTGTAAACTCATTCCTCATCCAAGTCCAAGAGCCATAAATAACCAAGATTGGGTATCAAAAGCAAAAAAGTGGTACACCGACAACGATATTTTAAAGTTTTTCTCGTCAAATTAAACACAATGGAAATTTACATGCACGAAGCTTTAAGTGAAGCGAAGAAATCACTTCATGAATTTAATGAAGTTCCAGTTGGATGTGTTTTCATTTACCATAATAATATAATTGCGCGTGGTCATAATCTTGTAAATAAAACTGTCAATCCAACGCGTCACGCCGAGTTTGTTTGCATTGATGAAGTTTTAAATTACTGCAAAGAAAAACAATTAAATCATGACGAAGTTTTTAGTGAAGTCATTGTCGTTGTTTCCGTGGAGCCATGCATAATGTGTATGAGTGCATTGTGCAATTTAAGAGTTAAGGAAATCATTTACGGATGTAAAAATGATCGTTTTGGAGGTTCTACTGTAGTCAATGTTGCAGACTTTCTTAAACCAGAGACAAAGGTCAAAGGAGGTGTCATAGAAGACGAAGCAATGCAATTACTTAAAGAATTTTATCAAGGCGAAAATCCACTGGCACCGATCTCAGCGAAACAAAAGAAAAAGAAATAAAATTTAATTTGATGACTTTAATTACTTTGAGTTTCTTTTATCTACCATTAAAAGATGGTTTTCAGTTAACTTTAATGTCATTCCATACTTAAAGCGTAAATCTTCATATTTGGACTTTGTTGTGAATTTGAAGTTTTTTATCAGCTGAACAAGAACGACTTTGATGAAGAATATTGCGAAACGATATCCTATGCAATTTCTTCTTCCTGTTGAAAATGGCTGAAAGCTGAATGAATGACGATTAGCAATTTTTTCCGGTAGGAAATTGTCGGGATTAAAGTTGTGACTGTCATCTCCATAAATTTCTTTCCTCCGGTGAAGCACAAATGTGTTGATCGTAAGTGCTGTGTCTTTAGGAATAATCACTCCTGGAAGAATCTCAAAATCTTCAATTGTTTCACGTCCGATGAGAAAAATTGGCGGTGCTAAACGAAAACTTTCTTTGACAACACGATCTAAATATTCCATTTTTAACAGAGCGTCAAGTTCAGTGGCATTTTGAAGATTTTCTGTTATTTCTTCAGCAAGTTTCTCTTGACAATTCAAGTTCATTGCAAGAAATAAAATTGTATAATTAATCATCGCAGATGTTGTGTCCAAACCAGCATTTAAAAATGTCAAAATATGTTCTCGAACTTGTTTTTTTGTGAATTTCTCGCTTCCATTTTTAATGAGACCTTGAAGCAACGACTCATCACTTTCTCCACTTTCACTTTCAAACTTCATATTGGTTAAAAGGTCGGTGAGATATTTTTGTGCATTTTTCACTTTTCGGTAATTTGAAGACCGTTTGTAAAAGATGTCCAAGAATTGCAGTGGATTTTTCAAACCATTTTCGAATGTTTCAGTGTTGCTAAAGTGATTAGTGTTAAATGTCTTTGATTAAAAGGAATTTTGTCGATTCTTACGTCTCAAAAATAACAGAAGTCTTCTTATAAATGTCCGAGATTCTCTCATCTTCTAATGCCATCCCAAATAATGTTGTACAAACACCTTGTACCGCACAGAACTCAATAAGTGGTAGTAACTCAATCTCGTTATTGGTGTGTGAATGCTTCTTGTTGATCTTATCCACTAAACAATCAGCACATTCATAAAACGAAGCGATATATGATTGAATCTTTTTTGTACTAAAATATTGATTCATGAATCGTCGATCGTGTATCCATTGATTATCTACATTTAATAATTATTGAATGAAGTTAAAAAGAATGATCGACCGGACTTTAACTTACATCGCGAAGACAATAATCCCTCGTCTACATCGAAAAATTTAAGTAAAATGAGAGGTCTTTGCAGACAACTTTTTGACATCAAAACTTTTTCAATCAAAGTTGGACTGTTCACACAAATATTCAAGTGATGAAATTGCCAAAGCTTTGATAACTCGGGAAAATTTGATGAAAATTCATTTGTTGCCAAAAATGCTTCTGAAATTTTCAATTAAAATTTTTAATTTTTTAAACTTTCGCAATTAACTTTTTTTTCCACCTTCGGATTTTAAACCAAAAAAATAATGAAAATGACCGACAATAGGAAATGCAGATAATGATGGAATTTTTAAGAGATACTGTTTAATTAAAGTTGAAAGAGTTTTATAATTATTCAGCAAGAAAATGATTAACAAAATTATTAACGCCTCTATAAACATCGCGAAGAGATTTCAAACTGAGTGAAGAAGATATTCCAAAAAACTCAAATCATGAATTTGAGATCGATTCGCTAAGTCCACACGTTAACGAAATAAAAATGGTATAAAACGTTATTCAATATTTATTCTCACACATACTGTTGGAATCAATATGATCAAGATCATCTTGTTATGATAGAAAAAAAGTTTTTATGATTATTTCAATAGCAATTTTGAACTTCAAATGACTACAAATTAGATTCGAAATTATTTTTTTTTATTTTATAGACATTTCATAAGTGACAAAAATTTAGGGCCCATGAAAAATGCGTTTGAAAATTCAGTAATATATTCATAAAGACCTAATAACTTGTTTCTTGAATTATCTACTTTAATAACGTCAAGGGATGAGTTTTAAAAACTTTAAATGCCGAATGAAAGTCATTTCAAATTCCACGCGATTTGTCATCATTATTATAAATCTTATTTTTTTTTTGATAGAATTAAAGAATAATTACGACACTATAAAGTATCTACCATTCACATCATTCTATGAATTTATAAAACTTCAACTACCGTTTTTTACATGTGCGCAGATTCAAGTACGTGACTCAATGAAATATTTTAATTTTTCCTGTCTTAACTCTTGTCAAGGTTGATTTTATATAAAAGTCCCCCGGCACATCTTTTCTTACAATAATTTATATTTATTAATGAAGCTGCTGATGAGTGACTTACAACATAAAAACACCAACAATTTCAGTGCTTTTGTTTACCTTGAAACAATTGTTGATTTTACAAATTATTTTAACTAAACCAAAATTTCAGCTTGCATTCGTAGTCTCTCTTTCTTAATCTTTGAATTGTCTGTTGAATTTACTTTAACATATCTGATGATTCGATCAGGAAAGAAGCTAAAAGTAGAATGAAATGAAAATTACTCATAATTACTAATAAACGGATATAAGATAATAAAGAAATAATTACTTTAATATTAAAGATCGTTTTGCTGCTTTGGGGATGTAAATGTTCCTCTGATTTCTCAGAATCCCCTTGACAATTAAATGTGCTGCATGATCAGGTTCCAAACGAGGTAATAATTTATTATTTTTCAAGAAATCTCCAAGCTCTTTCCGAGTGTTTATGAACAAAGGATAAACCGTTGTTGTCTTCACAAAGTCTTGCTCCAAAAGGCAAAGCTCATCAAATAGTGCGTCCATAAAACCACTGACACCAAACTTTGTTGCACAATATGCAATCGAACATGGAATGGTCAATTTGCCAGCGAAAGAGGAAATCGCAACCACATGACCTTGTTTCCGTTTAATCATGCCATTTAAAAATGTTCGACATGTCTAAAGGTTATAAAAGAGAAAATTCAAAGCATTTAAAGACAAGTCATGAAATTGAACTCTTGTTATGACTAATGGGTTTGTGAATAAGTTGCGTAGAAGTTTATATTTATCTACATATATCTTAACTATTTATTTACCCAAAAATGTGACGTCAAGTTTACGTTGACAACATTTTGAATTGCTTCTGGTGTACCCTCTTGTAGTGAAGTGCTTAGAGACAAAAGTCCCGCATTGTTGACAAGAATATCAACACTTCCAAGTGTGTTTTCTATTTTATTTTTCAGTTCATTTATTTCCTAAATAGAAATACAATTAAGTATATTTGCTTTTATATTACCACACCGAAGATCATTCTAAAATTTAAATTCATTCATAACTAGAAGACATATTGCAGATAATGTACTATGAATTGAATTATATCAACGACCGCTTATAAAAACACGATAATTATAAATTATATTTGAAGTTCGATAACAAACAGAAGCGCGCGAATAACGTACATTCAGTTGAAATTCTCAGTTCAATGTACACGATGTGCACAAGAGAGTTTTTTTGTACTTTTCTGCTTAAGAATGTTAAGTTAAATATTTATTCTTAACATTTAGCACTGCGGCAAAAGCATCGAATTACAAATGATTGAAAACTTTTTTACCTCATGATTCGAAACATCAACCTTGAATGGAACTGTTTCTACATCATATTTAATTTTTATTTCTTCGGCTGTTTTTTGAGCTGCTTTGAAGTCAATGTCAACGACAGCAATTTTGCAGCCTTCTTGTGCAAAACGAAATCCTAACGCTCTACCTAATCCGTTACCACCGCCAGTGATTAGCACGACTTGCTTTCTTATACATTTCGGTTTTGGTGGGCAAAAAAGATTTTTAATTCCTTTTAATGTTTCCGGAATAAATAGCAGAAGAATTATAACGTGAGTCTTAATGTATAACCATAAAAACGATAATTTCTGTTTAGTATTGTAATCAAATTTCTCCGCTGCACAATATTCTTGTGGTTCTGTTGGATTTTTCACTTCCATTTCACTTCGTACTTCTCAACGTCTCTTCGCTTTCAAATCTAACACTTTAATGAAATATCTCCAAGCTCCACCAATTAGTTTTAAGCAAGTTTTTCTTCTCTTAAAACACATATCGTCAAAGATGTCCAAAATTATTTAAATTAAAAGTTTTTTGTCTCTCAATGATAACGTAAATATGGCTGACTGCTTTATGCAGATTGTGGATGAGACTCCTATAAAAGATAATCAACCTTCACATATATATTCATTTATAATCATACCATATTTTTAAATTTTTACTAAATTTCGCTTTTATTTGCACATTTATTGGTATAAACTCATAATTTTGAAGAAAAATTCGATGGCTTTGGTTTAATTTTGTTGACAATTTAAAAAAGTGTAAACCACGACCAGAATTCCTGATAACATTTTGATTTTTGACTCTCGATCATAAACATTCAATTCAAAAACTTTAAAGCTGGCTTAAATCTATTTAATAATTTTTTTACCAATGAGTATAAAAGTTTCAGAGATTTTCCAAGATGATCAACTTTTTCGCCTTTGTTCAGCTGCTATAACATTTCGCAAGCAAATCTTCTCGCAATAGAAGTTTATTTCTTATGATGAACATTATGCCTTTATAAGTATCGACAACTGTACTTAAAAAGAATTCTCTGTCAACTATAAAAACGAAGAGGAGCAGTCCAACCATGAATAGGAATACGTAGTAGAACAAGCGTATTACCAAGTCCAAATACTTGTAGCTGGAAAAGATATTGAATGACGGCAAAACACTTTAAAAGATGGATTGATAACTTACCAAGTGACTACGCCTCTTCTAAATGCAAGAGAATCTTCATCATTAAGCTTAAGTAAAAATTTTCTGACACCCATAACATTATTTTTTACACATTGCTCCATTTCGACCTGCGATGTTTGTTAAACAGAAAGATTGACTTTAATAATTACCAAATCAAATAGAATTATTGTCAATTTACCTCTTCAAAATTACAATAAAATATTTCTTTATCCTTCTCGCTTAACTCTTTATGGAGATTTTTAAATTGGTCATTTTGCCAAAAGAAATCTCTTGTGTTATAGAAGCGAAGTGTTTTCATTGCTGTGTCAAATTTCCTTTGATAGATAACGAGTCTGAAGAAGAACAATTAAATATTCATCTTAGAAATTCTATCTTATATTTAAGTAACTTACAATGCTTTTTCACCAGCAAGTCGACAGAAGAAATCACCGAAATATGCTGGAACATAATGGTAGCAAACTCGTCTGAACTGATAGTAAAACCAATTCTTTGTAACTACCAAGTAAGGATACCAAACCATCAGATCAAGTGGAAACTTTCTTGATAATTTCAGTTCGTATTCAAAATATTTCTTCATAGTCCATGATTGTAATCCAATTGTGTTTATGTTTGCATAAAGAATATCGTTTCCTTCCATTAATGCACGTTTACAAGTAAGTGCAATGATCGCATTATCCGCTAAATCAACGGGAATTAATTCAATCATTTTGTTCGGGTCTGCATAAACAGTCCTTAAAACTCCACGACCGAATGCCATTAAGCATCCAGTTAAACCACTTTTATGACTTTCAACCCATCCCGGATATGGTTCTTTCCATGCCGATGTAACAATCGATGGTCGTGTGATAACAATTTTTATGCGATCTCTGAATGAATGAGCCAAATCCTCAGCAAATATCTTCGATAACGCGTAAGTGTTCGGGTAACCTTTCATAATTCTGCAAAAGATGTACAAATATAAAAATAAATAATTAACAAAAAATTATAAAATAAAAAATCACGCAACACAATGCTTTTAAAACATTTGTGCGTAGGATCTTGAGATTGATGTAATAACATTTAAGACGTAATCAAGGTCGTAAAATTTTCATCATCATCAACATCCAACAAACAAACAAACGTGTAGAAATGAGAAAATCAAATTTAATTCGCTAGACAACATTGAAAAAGTTGAATTTTTACTTCTTTTCTATTTACCTGGGTTCGATTTCATCTAAGTCACTCTCGCGAGAGGATTGTAATAATTTTATAACTTTGTATGGGTCTTCGCATGCTGGCTGGTAGCGCTCTTCCAAAATTCTCTGATTTGGACAACAGTATGACGTAGAAACATGTGAGAAAACAAGAAGATTTTTAATTTTCGTCGCAAGTTGAAGAACTCTCAATGTTCCAACAGTGTTAAAGCTCAGAGCTTCTCTCAATGGCAATGAAAATTTAGCTTTTGCAGCACAATGGAAAATAATGTTTAAATTTTCAATTAACTCTTCTTCATCTGAAGGATCAATTGCTAAATTTTCTTGCGATGTATCGCCCTTGATGAGACTAATTTTCTTTAATCGTTCTGGTGCAATTTCTCGAATTTTTTTGAATATCTTCATGGAAAAGAAAAGAAAAGAAAAGAAAAATGGTGGTAATTAGATAATAAAAACTTATGTGAATAAAACCCGTTAAACACCAAAGGCAACATAAACTCACAGTATCTTCCACATAGTCTTGATAGCGACGGAATGAATCAACTGTTGAAGTAAAATTTAAATATTTTTTTAATATTTTTGAAGGTTTCTTTTTCAAAAGATGTTAACATTGCATAACTTTCATTACCTCCGCGTTTCATGCGAATCAGAATATAAATCCGTTTTAAATCGCCGCAATCTCTGAGAAGTTTTTCCACTATCACTTTTCCCATAAAACCTGTCGCACCCGTAACGAGAATGCTTTTCCCGCTGTAAAATTGGGATATTGACACATTGCGTAAGATTTCCGACTCCGAACCCATTTCAATAAATTTCTTAGTCGTTTTTCAATTATTTTTTTCGCACTCTTGGTGATAAATGATTTTGAAATCCAAATATGAAAATTTTTCCAAAATTTCAACAAAATTTTATTTCTTGAATGTTTCACTTTATTAAGGTCAAATAATTACGAGGAATAATGTAACTAACATCTTTACTATTCGACAAACGAAGAGAAACTGGTTAAAAATATGAAACTGTTGTGTCTGTTGAGAGTGAAGAAAAATATTTTGGCTATTGGAACCATTTGGAAATACATAGACACGAAGAAATACAATTCAGACAACAGGTATCGCTTCCAGATGTATTTAATGATAGCGAGGCTGACCACGTGTAAATTTAAAATTATTATACATACTTAAGTAAATTCAATTATTAATGCAATCTTAATTGTTAACAAAAATCAATTTTATATTTTCATTATTTTTTAATTCAACATTAATAAGTGACGAAATAGAAGTTTTACGATCAAAAGAACACACCGAATGTGATCCAATCGAGCTTTGTCTTAGTTCATCTCTTAAAATCAGTATTGTAAGTATTCCAATGAATGAATCATTTGTCGTTGTGTAGGAAAATCACTCGTTAAACACCTTAAACTGTTTGTAGAAAGAGCGAGAAAAACATAACAATGAGTTCATGAACACATGGAATATTTAAGTAACATTAATCTAATAATTCTTCTTGCCAATCAAAGTAAAATAACATTATGAAACAATTCACTGAGAAAGTAAGTTGATTTGAATATCGATATGAAAACATCAAAATCTGGTTATTGCTGAACAGGTTGGGACAAAAATTAAGAGGCAAAAATTTTGAGACCAATTACCAATGACCAAAAATTCTTCTTTAACTCTTGCAAAATGAATTTGAAACTCAAGTCTCATTCTCAATTTAGCAATATTTCATTTATTTTGTTGTCTCATTTTGCACTTTGTACTTGTTTCGTCAGTCGTTTAATTGGTTTTCATTTCACGTTCTAGGGGAATTCTGACATTTTTACGCTTGACGTAATACGAATTACTTATAACTTATTAATGTGCTACCCGTTCAAGCCTTAAATCTTCTTACATTGCAAATATTTATATAACATTTTGTTAAAATATTTCACAGTTTTAACATTGTGTGAAACTGGCTCAAAGTTGAACTTAAAGCTTTGTGAAAAAATATTCGGAAATTATTCATTCATCCTTGAAGACCTTTTTTCTTTCATACTTACCCATATAAATTTTTCAGATTTCTTAATGACTGAAGTTTTTGGATTAAATTTATATTGTTGACCTTCAATTACATTTTTTTACAAGCACGCACCTGCAGAGAGAAGAAAACGGCACAGTGAAGAGATCGTCAGCATGACGTCATTAAACGAATGCCTACTTTTACGGAGTTTAAGTAATGAAAACATAAAAAAGACGAGTCACGATGATCACACGGCTTGAAATGAGACGATGGAGGAAATCAATTATGATAAAAATTCTTATTTGAATTAAGCATCTTCGTTTTTAAAATCTGGTAAATATTTGATATTCAATGAACATATTTAATGTTTACTTAATAAACCTTTATCGGTTTTTAGTTTTAATTTTCTCAAAGATGTAAGTTTACATTTAATATGTCGAAGATAATGAAATCTTAAGTTAAATTGATTGTGGAATATTTATGAAAACGATGAGTTTGAAAATAACTGATATGATTTTGTGGTCATTATTATCGTTGCTTCATGAAACAATTCTGACGTTATAAGCTCAATAGTTATCTAACAGTTAAAGGAATCGAGACATGAAGTCACTTCAATCGAATTCATTCTGTAATTTGAATTCTTGTTTTATCTTTGCAAAATTCCAGGGAAAAGCTTTATTAATATATATTTTTGTTATTTAATAAATATTGAAAGATTTGTAAGAAAAGAAGAAATTAATAATTTGTTGCTGAAATGCTTAAATGCTACTGTAAATTCAAACATAGACCAAAACGTCAACATGGCTGATGGCAAAATAAATCCTTCAAACATTATCACAAGATAAGCTTATTGTGTGAATTTTTTTTCTTACTTCTAAGTGAAACAACTGCAAAGGAAAAAGATATACAAGGAACAGAGAAAGAATCAGTCTCAAATGGATTATGTCATAAGATTATTAAGAATGACAAAAAAATTTCGATATTACAGATGATTTGAACTTGTCGAATAGGTTCCAGAAAGCTTGAGAGCTCTCCCAGTTTCTCGTGCTTATTTTTGTTGAAATATGCAAATTAAAAAATAATGATAAGGAAGCCGCTTAAAACAAGCTTTTTGTGACTCGTGATGACGTCTTATTTCATTTAACGATTTGAAATTCTGTGACGTGATTAAGCAATCTTGTTTTATATATAATATTTTCGCAATACATCTGAAACTGTTTTCGTCTTCCCAACCTACTCATAACTGTCTTAAATTTCTTAACTCAGATTTATTCTCTTTTATAGAACTTTATTTGATTAAACTTCTCATAATTTATAAACTCATTTTTTAGTTTATTAACCCATAAAGCATCCAAATACTCCTGTCACAAAAGATTCCATTTTGTTTTCGACTCTTTCCTTATTTTCTCTTTTGGTTTCAAGAGATATCTCAAGATTTTCCAAGGCCCCCAATGCAATAGAGTTTTCAAACATTTTGTTTCTCCTAAATGATCTCATGATGCAGTTTATTTTACTTTGAGATAAGTTCTGTTCCTTATATTTATCTCTAAGTTGGGCTTCAACCTCTGCTTTAGCGTTACTAATGACAGTATCACAATTAGCAGCTGCTGTGTCGATATTTGAAGGATTTATGTTGACATTACCAACGTCGATGATTTCTTCATCAATTACATATTTAGCCATACAGTAATGTGATTGAAGAGCACTTAAAGATTCATTTTTGAGGCCCAAATATTTATCGAAAAGACCTGCATAAGTTGCATCACTGTTACAAAAAACTGCAGCGTTGTCTAAAATTCCTTTGATTGTTTCTCTTGTTTCAGCAAGTTTCTTCATGACTTCTTGGTTTGAGAGGTCAGTTGAACTTTCGATAACTTCTTCCTTTATTAAATAGTCTAACAAACCGCCCTTCTTCAACTGTGCTGAAACACAGTCTGACTTAATAGATTCCTTTTCGGAGAGTTTCGATAGAAATTCTCTTTCTATTGTAGGAAGAACGAGTCGAACTACAGCATCACATGCTTGTGCATGTGCAGGCTTTTGGGGTAATGGAAAATCTTCTTCCAATCGTCCATGATCCTTTAAATATTTAATCAAACAAGTGATTCCAGTATCCTTATCGGAAGCAGAAAGCTCGAATAAGCAGAACAACAAAATGATGTAAACTCCCTTCATACTTGAAGCTTTAGTAAAGACTGAATTATTCTGATACAATTACGGCTGTATTTAATCAAAATAAGACTGCCTTTTACAAAAAATAAAATAAAAACATTATGACTTAATATTTAAAGGTGGAAGGTCAGACTTAAAAGCTCCTTATCAATTGAAGCTTCAGCACACTAATGAACGTAACATTGAATTTATTCTGACATAAGACACATTATGAAGAGAAATTTTGGGTTTATTAATCTATTTATTACAAACTTGTGATGCTCTCTTTCTAAATTAACTGGGATGACGAAGTGCATTTTATTTTGAAAATTGTGACTGACATAAATTGAAACTCGCAGTAAATTTCTATTTTTTAAGTTTAAAATACTTAATTGTGAGAAAAACTAATTCGCTTCAGTATGCTTCAGATCGATCATACTGAATGCTGGTAAATATTTTGTAAACAGCTTTCTTATTTCCTCTTAGAAATCATTAAAAATTTAAAAATAAATTGACATTCAATAAAGTTTAAAAGTTGATAACAAAAAAAATCAAGCAAAAATTTAATCATTTGATGAATCATAGATAATCTGAAAGCTTCCTCAACGCTAAAATATTTTTATTTTTTAATTTATTTATTAAGAAATCAACATTTCCTTATCGAATGTAACGAATAAAAACATTCTCAAATATTAAATGCGAAAATATTAAATGCTTTATCAGTTTATAAACATAAATTGCGTCACATATGCCGCAGTTATTACGAAATCTACAAATTATTTGCGATGACGTCGATGGCACGATTGTAAACTAAAATATCAGCATCAGTAGCAAATATAAAATCCAAATGGTTGAACTTCATGTCTGGAACAAAATATTCACCGCGAACATTTCCGAGTTTACCTTTGAGTTCATTTACATCTTTGAGTGCAGCCAACCAATCGTTGTTTGAGTAATGCAAAAATACTGGAGCAGTTACGGAACTCAACTTATAATCTGGTGGGAAAATTGATCCATACTTGAAAAGATTTTTTGTTAATCCAAAATCAAACATTCTGAACTTTCCCGAATTGATGCCTTGAGCGTAATGAACGAGTTGATCGACAGACGATCCTAGAACCAAACGTTTTCGACTTTATTTTTAATTTTCATCGCATTTGATAAGAAGTCTTTCTCCTTCATACCTGCTGGGGTGTTTTCCAATATGGCTGGAATAATTGTTCGATTTAACTGAGGCGAATTGAAGCCACCAATAAGAAAAAGAACGTTGGCACAGACTTCTTGAATAGGCGATTCATCCTTGCAAATAAGTTGACCACCTTTTACCAGCATCTCATTAGATGGTAAAAATTCATAGACTCCAAGCATTGACATGACTGTATCAATTGAGTCAGCGAAAGGAGCGACTATTCTCAAAAATGGTGAAGCTAAATTGGACATGAAAGCCACTGGAGCTGAAAAGGAAAAATTATTAGATTTTAACAAAAATCTGTGTTTTTATGTCTTTACCAAAAGCTTGCATTGTCTTAATTTTTGCATTCATTTCCGTTCGAAGTGAAGCCATTACAAAGAAGGCTGTAGTTCCTTGCGAATGGCCAATATAATGCAAGTTCTTTTGTCCCGTGTTTAACAAAACAAAATCAATCATCGCGGGTAAATCAATTTGCCCTAAAGATTTGATAAAACCAATCGAATGGAAATTAATTCCTATTGTTCGACTATAAAACTCGATAAGTGTTATCAAATCTACCTATTTGATGCCATGAGAAATCCCAGAAGTCTCTACGATTTGGTGATAAATACTGATGTTTTCTAGAAAGCGTATTGCCTCGAGCATTTCCAAGCCATACGTCATATCCTTAATTTTATATTACAATTAAATAATTTGGATTAACAATTAATTATATTATTCATTTTTGTAGTCACCTTGATCGGCAAGAAGATATGCCAAGGCTTTGTTTCTTCCTAACACTAACCAGTCTGCTGATGAACTTAAGAGGCCATGTTGTAAGAAAACAACTGTTTTACCATAACTTGGTGGGCTATTAGGACTTCCCGAAATTCTTATAACTTTAAGAATATATTCATCAGGAGTTGTAACTTCATATTCCTCGAATGGATAACCTTCTACAATTTTGCTGATTTTCTAAGCAAAAATGAGTAACACAAAATTCTTTATGTACTTAAAAATCTCAATCTCAACCAACTTACACTTCCACTTTCTGATGCAATTGAATTTGAAATTTCATGTTCAATCTGTAGTCCTTTCACTGATGAAAGTATAAATACTAAACCAATGAGAATATTGAGTTTTAACATCTTGTTCATATCCATGAACAATTAATGAATGAAACGAGTTCCAACACTCATATTTTCAAGTTTAAATAAATCTTTTTAATCTGATAAGAAGCTGATAATGTATGAAAAATGCCATTGGACTAAGCTTATCAGTTCAATAACTTGATTTAAAAGGTATCCGCGTTTGAAATAGATAGCATTAGTCTTGAAGTTTTATTCAATTATTAAAAAAAAACAGTATGAAGTCAATTACTAAATTTAGGATGTTTTGCTTCTTCATATAATTTTAAATCAAGATTCATTTTCATTATTATTAATGTCTGAATAAATTATTATAACAATGTTCAATATGATCACAGAAAAATTGCGTCTTCTCCATTTAAAATTAAAACTTGATTCTTTTAAAATTATTACAAACGGTCTTCATTCTCATATGTTAAAGCTTAAAGTGATAAGAACTTTCTTAATTTAACCTTTCGATCATTTTGTATTGCGTCATAAAATTTGATTACTTGTTTTAGCGAGAAATGTTTTTATTTTAAATGACTGAAAATGTGACAGAATATTTTAGTCTTTTGTAATTCTTCGAACATGAAGGGAGTTTATTTCATCATTTTTCTTTGCTTTTTCAAAGTTGCTATTTCCGAGAAGGATGTCAAAGAGACTTGCATAATTCAATATTTAAAAGAACAAGGACGTTTAGATGAAGATTTTCCATCACCCACTAAGGCTGTAGAATCATGTGCTATGATAATCCCTTTCATTCTTCCTATAATGAAAGATAGATTTGCAACAAAGATGTCGGAGATTACTTCTGAATGTTTTTCAACGCAATTGAAAACAGATGGACTTGTGGACTATCTAATGAAGGAAGAAATATTCGAAAACCTTACCGAGTTCTCTGCTCAAGAAGTCAAAAAGGAACTTGCTGATACAAGACAAATGATCGAAGGTATTTTAAACTACGCTGCTGAAGTGTGTGAAAGTGAGATATCAAATAAAGTTATCCATGATAAATATTTGATTATCAAAAATGAAACCAGAGCCATTACTAGGTACTGCTTGAGCAAATTCGTTATCGATGCAGGAATTATTGACGCTGGTAATCTTGATATAAATCCATCAAACATCGACACAACAAAAATTGAATGTGAATCTGGTTTGAATGCAGTAAGAATAAATGCTGAAAAACTTGTGAAAAAAGAGTACAAAGAACAGAATATTCCGCAACGCAGAATAAATTGCGCCCTGAGAGAGTACAGAAGAAATAAAATGTTTGAAAACTCAATCGCGATGGGAGCTTTGCAAAACCTAGATATGTCCCCAGAAATAAAAAAGCGAAATGAAGAAAATATTCAAGCAAATGTAGAATCTTTTTCTAGAGGAATCATTGGATGCTTCATGAGAAAATAAAGTGACTCATGACGTCAAGTTGCAATCTTTTAAAAGTTTAATGCAATAAAATTTTCTTGCAAATTGAATATAAATATTTAAATCTGACACATATTAAAAAAAAATAATTCGAATCTTAAATTGAAGCTCATCATCATATTATGAAAAGCTGTTTTAAAAGATTTTCTTATCATTGATCTTTTAAATAGTTGAACCACTTCGCATTATGAATCCAACCATCAAGTCATAGATGTTTTCAAGTTGTTTTGGCGTGTCAGGGGTCAAAAAAATATTGCAGATATGTGACTAAAGAATTCAAATTGTATTCTTTCCAAGAAAAATTCAAATTTTGTTTATTCACAAGCAAAAGCTAAAAGTGATAAGGACGTTTTGAATTTAACCTTTCGATCATTTTGTATTGCGTCATGAAATTTGATTATTTATTTATATTGTCAAAAAATATTCTTATTTTAAATGAATGAAATTAATCAAATGTATCAAAATATTTTAGTCTTTTGTAATTTTTCGAACATGAAGGGTGTTTATTTCGTCATCCTTTTCTACTTATTCAAAGTTGCTATTTCTGATGAGGATCTCAAAGTGGCTTGCATAACTCAATATTTAAAAGAGCAAGGACGTTTAGATGAAGATTTTCCAGAATCAAATAAAAATGAATGTGCTTTGGTGCTTCCTATCGTTTTCCCAATTTTAAAAGATAGATTTGCAACAAAGATGTCGGAAATTAAATCTGAATGTGTTTCAACGCAATTGAAAACAGATGGACTTGTGGACTATCTAATGAAGGAAGAAATAATCAAGAATCTTACCGAGTTCTCTGCTCAAGAAGTCACAAAGAAGCTTGATGATACAAGACAAATAATCAGAAATATATTAGAAAATGCTGCTGAAGTGTGTGGAAGCGAAATAACATATGAAGATATTCATGATAAATATTTGCTTATTATGAACGAAACCAAAGCCATAGCAATGTACTGCATGCTCACACTTGTCATCGATACAGGAATCATTGACGTTGGTAACCTTGAAATAAATCCATCAAACATCGACACAACAAAAATTGAATGTGAATCTGTTTTAAACGCAGCCAGAATTAATGTTGCAAGAGTTGTGAAAAAAGAGTTTAAAAATCAGAATATGCCTCAATGTACAATGAACTGCGCCATGAGAGTGTACAGAAGAAACAAAATGTTTGAAAACTCAATTGCGATGGCATTTTCGGAAAAGCTCGATATATCCCCAGAAATAAACGAGCGAAATAAGGAAAACATTCAAGCTAGAATAGAATTTTTTTCTAAAGGAATCATTCGATGTTTTTTAAAAAATTAAATTAAATGAAAATCTCTTGAAACTTAAGTAACTCCGAGTTATTAATTTGTTAACATCTTTATAAGACTTTCACACAATTTGAATGGTGAATAATAAAATAAATTCTTCTTTTAAAATCGTGATGAAAATATGAAAAGGCGATTAAAGTTTAGCTTTGATGGTGAGGATAAAAAGTTCACAATACTCATCTCGAATTTTCATCAACATCGGGACCAATTCTTGGAACAGATGATTTAATTAATAAAATTAATTAAATATTTGATTAGAAATATTTCTATTCTCATATTCATTCTTAATATCCTAAATATATATTTAATATTTAAAGCTTTTTAAAAAGCTCCTCTTTTATTCTTGAAAGAGCTTTTGAAATCAAGTTTTGTTATTGGCGTCACCTAGCGGTTATTCTGCGATGTTTGAAATTCAAACTTTCACAATTCTATTTAAGTCTATTTGTTTTCATTTTTCTTAGAAAAACAGATCACTTGTGAATTGAATTAATCTTTATCAAAATTTATGTTTTTTTAAAAAAATTAGTAAATCATCTCATTTTATTCATTCAAAAATATTACAATCAATTTTTACAGCTCATCATTTTTAAAAAAACATTAAAATGTTAGTATAAAGTGACTGGAGATGAAAATATTAATAATTCATGTTTCTTTTACTCTTAATGGAGTCATTAAATTATTAAAAGTTCTCAAGGAAAGGATTATATTTAGATAATTAATTAATTAATAAACTATCAACATGTCTGAGAGTTTTGACATAAAATATTTAATCCAATATTCAATTCCACGTTTTTCCTAAAACAATTTTCAAATTCGTTTGGGAGTGTCGCGGTCCCATCTTCGTCTTTCTGTTGATTTATCGCGTGTGGCGCTTTTGCTTCGTAGTTTCTCTTGATGATATCTCCCCTAAAATTTTAACAAAAAATAAATTATTGTCATGTTCAATCTTTTGCTAAAATTAAATTTAAACCTTGAAAATTGTGAATTAAAAATAAATAAAAAATATTTTTAGAATGTCAGAAGAAAATAGTCAGTTGAATTTGTCTATGAACTATTTTTACAAATAAAATGAAGTGAAGAAATTTTTGAAATAGTGTCGATTTTAATTGATGCTCTATTGATGCGTGTAGATAGATTGAAGAATATATTTTAAAATAAATAATGAAAGAAAAAAAATATAAACATGAATAAAAGAAAAAAGTTAAATTAACAAGCAAAATAATATAAATTTTTCATTAATGCACCTTCTGAACATCATTGTTGTAATTGATTTCATATCCATCACTTATGAATCTGTAAATTGACAAGAGATTACAAATGATATTTATAAATCTACAATGCAAATAATCACTTTGGTTTCCATGGTGCATTCATGGAAACTGATCGGTTAACAGTTCGCATCATTGGTTGTTCTTGTTGAATTGCTGATTTGATGCTGTTCTTGCCTGACATTCTACGACGATCGAGAGTTTGTGATGGAATGTCTCCAACAGTTGTAGCATGTAAATAAACAACACTTCGTTGACTAGCATCACTATCAAAACGATCACGATGGAGATTCTCACGACTGTAAAAATTAAATTTTAAAACCATTTTCAACAATTTCTTCCGACCAAAATTCACCTAACAGATAAACTTTCACGAAGTCGTCTTGCAGATGTTAAATTTGACAACGAATCAGATTCAAAACTTTCCTTCTTTTGATAATAAGGCGTTGACTCTTGCACATCACGATGTGTAAAATCGCGATCAATGTTGTCTTCCTCAAACATTTTTCTTCTCGGCGACCGAGGCAATGTTGATGAGACTGCGCTGACTAACTTCGAAGATTTTGGTGGTCGTGGTGGGGGCAAATGTTTATTGACAATTGGTGATGGTGATCGACGAATTGGTGATTCATGTTTATGGAATTCCGTGTCCGAGGTGCTTTCAGAAATGTCTTGTAGTTCGGCGCGAGATCGTGAAATCTGGATTTAAAAGGATTAAATGTTAACTCTGGTATTAATCTAACCCTTCCGTTAATCTAACTCACTGCTTTTGTCTGTTTCACTTTCTTCTGTGCATTTAAATTTTGCAAAGAAGAGCTCTTTAAGCGAACCTCTTGTGATGAATTAAGCCTTGAATATTAAAAGAAATATGAATCAATCATGGAACGAGTTATGAGAAACATTCACTTTGTTACTTTTTTGACGTCCCTCTTGAAATGGAATCAACTTCATCAGCGTCGGTGTCACCGAAAAATCGTAAAGTCTTGTTCGATCCATTTGTTGAAATGTTTTTCATGCTTGTCGATTTTGTTCTGGAAATTGTTGACTTTCGATCAATTGTGGATGCATTTGATGGCTCCTAAAGAAGAATTTAATAAATTAAGTTTTTAATATTATTTTAAGTTAGTTAAGGAACTTACTCTCGTTTTCTTTTTCGATAGGCGATCAAGCGAAGCAAACCAGTTAAACTTTTGTGGACTATTCTCCTTGTCACGTTTAAGTGTGCTGTTTGGTGTTGTTGATGTAACATGGCCATTAATTTTCTTACTTTTCGGCGGCAATGATTTTGAACGACTTGTTACAACGGGACTCGCTGTAGGCGTTGATAACCGTCTTCGATTAGCAATATCCTGTTGACGACTGATTGGTGGTGGGTCCAAGTTTGGTGAATATTCGCGATATCTTGATCTCACTTCATTGTCATCAACACCATTGGTCTTTGACTTCGACTTAAACAGTTCCTTCACCTTCTCCAATCCACTTTTCTTCTTTTTTGACTTTAAAAAGTCCCTCGTGATTTTCTTGTTATGTTTCCACTCCTTGATGATATTCATCTTGTCCAAATTTGGATCATAATGTGATCCATCATCAATAGATCGTTCACGATAAACAAACGTTTTCACAAGTTGATATGGATAAGTTTCTTCCGTATGTTTCTTCTCCTTCATGAGAAACAACTCACATTCAATGATGTCATCTTCGTAATTCCATTTGCGGCTGAAAGAAGAAATGAAACTCTTTATAAATATTTAATGTTGCCCTTTAAAGTTACAGAAAATTGTGAAACTTAAACTTTTGACAGTTCAGAGTTAATTTTCCGTTTTTTCATTTAACGTGTTTGAGACAACCAAGAAATTTCTAGATTAAAGATGAATATCGATCATTGAAATTTCCCGGTCATCTCATCTCTTATGTCCCCACTCACCCAATGTTAAATCTCGACGAACCGTTTTTGTTGCTATTCTTCTTATTCTTTTTCGATACATTGTCAACTTCAATACCAGAATCACCTTTTTCATTGTGTTTGCTGTTGTAATTATAAGAATTTTTACGCAACGTGTTGTTATCATCAGTTTGATTTTTACTTCGCTTCCACTCATATGGCGTCGATGAATGAACAACATCGAGATGATTTCGTTCGGGCGAAAAACGATTTATAATTTCATTAGATCCATATTTGTGGTAGCGTTTGGTTGTTGTGGGTGGCGATGATGACGTTCGTTGAGCGAATGTATTGTTGTTGTCATTGTTATTAATGTGAAGGCCACCAATGCGCGACTTAATACGCGATTCCAAGATCGCACGTCGACTACTAAGTGTCAAATCTAATCCATTGAAATCTGTGTCACGCATCTCGTTGCGATCAAAGTCAAAATCGTTATTATCGTTATCTAAGTGATTGTTGTTGATATTGTTGTTGGATGAATATCGTGGAATTTGAATTCTTATATTTGGTTTTATAATCGGCTCGTCATCAACAATAAAACTCTTTTCGCCTTCGTTATCTGTGATGATTTTCACACTGTTCCTGAATTGATAATTGCTGTTTTTCGCAGGCGATGTGGCTATTAAATGATCAACCATATCAATTGAATGATTCGGATTTATTTTAATGTTCGGTGGTGGACTAGCTGACTCACGATTCTTCTTTAGCGTATTATGAATCGTTTCTTTGCTTGTAATTGTTTTGCTACCATCAACATTTTTCATTTCATTGCAAACTACTTGTGCGTACACAATATCGTTATTGAGTTGATCAGACTTTGTTAATGGAGGTGATAAGGATTTATGTTTAGTTGGTGAATAGGCGAGGGGACTAATAGGCGAAAGCTGAGGATTTGTGTAAGAAAAGCCGCCAGCCTGTAATATTTGAGGCGGTGGCGAGAGACGTTCTTCAATCGATAACCGCTTTACCATTTTATCTACAGCCACGCCTTTAGTTAACGCGGGCTTTTCCGCTGGCATTTGTGAACTGTGCATTGTTTCTGCCGACTTTGAATACTTTGATGATATTTTATCGGATGTCGGTATCAAATCTAAGTCTTCACTGCTTGCAAAACTTTTGCCGTTTGTTAGTTTTATCTTTCGCTTATCTAACAAATCGTCAAAATAATCGGTGCGAGGATTTTTAGTATCCGCTAAGGGACTATTAACCTCGGTGATAGGACTTAATGGAACTTTTTTCTTTGACGTGTTTGTTATAAAATTGTTGGTATTATCACTGCTATCACTGCTATTAGTTAAATTGTTAAACGAGTTTCCTTTAAGATGAACTTGATTACGATACTTGTCGCGTTTCGAACTTTGACTACTTCGCGAGCTTACGTCACTTTTGCTTCTTTCTACTTTCTTGTTATTCGCATGCTTGTCATTATTACTTTTTTTATTGTGATTATTAACTGGGGAAGGCGAGTTAGTGGAGGTTGATGTGTTGTTAAAAATGTTAAAAATGGAACTGCGTTTAGGTTTTTTAGATGTCGACGCATCCGATATACTACGACGAATTGGCTTTCGATGTTGATTTTTACGGTGTGGCAACGAACCAAAGTATTTTGCTTGTTCAAGAACAAGAGCTGGAATTGAAATAATTTATCATTCGTGAACATCTGTTCGATAATGTCATCAATACTTTACCTGCTTCTCTCTCTAGAGCTTCTTCCGATAAGTCGGCCGGTAGTTCACGTCGAAAATTAGCAGGCGATTGAGATCGCGATGTTAATGAATCGTGAGTTGAAGAATCATTATGATTCAATTGTGAGCCTTAACAATTAAAATAACAATTTGATTACTTGCTTATATTTACCCAGAATTGTCTTGATGAATTGAATGGTGGAAAAGAAGGAGCGAAAACAGAGGTGAAAAGTAAAAATAATGTCAAACGCGACTAGATTTCATGCATGAGTAGCTGTGACAAACAATTAACAATTTCTGCCTTCTCTGAAAGCACTGAGAAGGGGAGAAGAAATAAAAATGAAACAAAAACGCTTTGTGCGACACGAATAAAATCGAAATGAATCCACGACCAAATGGGATGAAAACTAAACACTAAATGGTAGAGCAAAAATATTTTCCACTGTTCTCAGTTGCTGTTTTTAACATCTACTAATCGTGCTAGCCTTTTGGAAACTGAGAGTAAGCGAGAGAAGCTTGCAAAATGAAAAAAAAATCATCTCACTATGTAGGAATACAGCCAACGGTTAAAATCAACATATATGGAAGCCATCAGAATGATTATGAATGGATTTCCGAGGCAATGATTCCAAAATTAACAAAAATTAAAATATTTTAAAAACGAGTTGACGCTAACTTGAGCGAAATCAAACCGCAGACTGTCTGCTCTTATTTGCGAATCAAATGAACGAGCTTTAGGCTGTGACTGAATGAAGCAGTTTATGACATAAAAATAATTTGCATATCAAAAGAGACATCATCGGTGACCTATTGAAAAATGTTGTTGCGCAAAAAAAAGAATGATGATGAAGTTGACAACAGACAGGAAGAGAGTAAATCACAAAATGCGAGTGATAATGAATACAACAAATGAAGTTGATTTGTTCTTGTTTGGCTAAGTTTTTATCTGATTTTAGGCAAACATTTTTTTTCTCTCTTTTTAATGTACGGAAGCTTTTATTTAGTAATACATTAAAATGAATTTTGCTGATGATTCTATAAATGTTCTAAATTAAACAAGAACAAAGCTTTCAAGAAACCTTGAGCTTTTCAAAAAAACACCAGCGATAATCAATTATTTAAAGTCGATTAACAGATTTTGCGGGAGAATCAAAGCTGATTAAAGCAGATAATCAGAATAAATCAATGTCAGTTAGATTTTAAATCTTGTATGCTAAGTAGCATACATTTAATGAAGATTGTCGTGTGAAAATCAAGTTAAAATTTTAAAACCAGAAATGCTTTTCATTCACAGACAATTTGATCTATTAAATGAAATAATTGAGTCGACTCTTGAAGCAGCAAAGTGTAACATCGTAAGGTGTTGAAGAATTGTTGTTCACTTCGTTTAATTCAAATTTTTCTTACATTGATATTTGCGTGGATGATGTTGCGACTATAAAATAAAAATTATTATTGAGCTTTTTTTTCTTCATTCCATCTTCAAAGTATTCTCCATCCCAATACGTTTTGCAAAATTGAAAAAAAAAATCAACACAATACGCCCACGCAATTTTACGTTTTTGATGAAGTACGACAGTGGCGCTGTTTAAAATTGTTCAGGGTCATTCATGCGTTGAAACCTGTCGTTGAAATATTTACACAATTGGAGGCTATCGCGATTGATGGACCATTGAAGAATTTCAATTGATTTTTTATTGATCGCAAACAAATTGAAGTCGTCTATCGAAAACATCAAAATCAAAATTACAACGAATAAACAGATGATTTTAAATGTCTTCACACACTGTTTAATGCATTCTCAAGGCTACAGTTAAGACTATTCTCATGAAGTGAACCTTTACTCAAAGTTCATCAAGTCCTTTAGGAGTAACGGGAATCCAATTATTCATGCACAGACAAACTCACGCTGATTCAATCATTTTGCGTTGAATAATAAAAGTCGAGACATTTCTCTCATTCAATACAATATAAGTTTTCGCTTTTTTCGCTTCTCCGATTACCATACAAAGCAATAAAAGTTGATGAAAGGGAATGAATAAAGTCACTAACCATATCTTTTAACATGCACATCACGATTAAATGACACGCGGGGTCCATTGTTGATGCTCTTTGGCAATGTCTCATTCTCAACGGTATTAACCATGCTTCTTACGCTGATTGTCTGTCTTTTCACCCCAAAATAATTGAACAATTCATTCAATCTTTACATCACCTTATGACTTGACTTGAACATCTTTTTATGACGACAGTAAGTTTGACACAGAAAAAAGTCATCAATAAATAATCAAAATCAATTTGATTCGGTTTCGGATGTAAACTTGGCACGTGTTAAATTAGGATTTGGGAAATTTTTACGTTCATGGCATCGTTTTTACATCCTGTAATGACATAGTTGGAATTAAAGTTTTAAATCATCTTCTTGACAACGAAGACAAATTATTTAAGCATCTTTGTAAAAGCACGCTTCAGAGTGTCTAATCTTTTAAACACAGACAATTGTTTACTTGTTAATTTGCTTTGTTACAAAATAAATAATAATTTGTTATAAACATCTGTAAGCTTAATCGACGATTACATTGATTGTTTATTATTTTAATGATATCGCACCACCTGTTTTGATTATTTACATTTTCTTTCTTATGCTCTTTGAGTTATTTTGTATAAAAATTTATCTAGAATCAAAGGATTATAAACTTTTACTCTTAAGTCTAAAAAATCTTTCAATGTTATTTTAACAATAATATTATTGTGCTTTGTTTGAGGTTTGAAGAACTTAATAACGGCGGACAAAGAGAAATAAATAGTAAATTGACAAACATAAGGCAAGTTTAAATAACCATAAGCTCTTTTCATAAGTAGCGTTCCAAACCTCGCACAGTTGCGAATTATTTCTAAGCTTTTAAAATTTTTTTAATTGCATGAATTAATCAATAAATTGTTGACTACATTTAGCGTTGGCATCGCATTACATTTTTGTGTTTGGGAGTTTTGTTAATGTTTATTGAAGCCTTGCGATATTACTGCTAATGTTCAATTGTATTCCAATTAATGCATGAAACTATTTTACGTGACAAGAATTTATCGGAAATTTATTTAATTTTCGGTATTTTCCTACGTATCTGACATGTTATTTGCCATATTTTTCTGTTAATGGAGCAACTTTATGTTTTTGTTCTTGTCGTTGGCTTTTATTTTAAGAGAAAAGAAGAGAAAAACAAATTTTTCGACTGATAGTTGTGTGTGGTGTGATGTTGTCAAAAGCTTGACCTTGAAACTCGTTCTCCGCATTTCGAAGACTTTTGCCCACTTTTTTTTTTTGTTTCATCTCTTTTTACTCATTAATTCATATTATTTACATCGATAACTCTTAATGATCAATGATTGTTGTCGTATTTGCGTTTCTCAAATTTTAAATCTTTTTTTTTCTTTGACTCTGATAATTTGGAAAAAAAAACTCTTTTAAGAAACTCGAAGCTTCTTTCATTTTTCAAACTTAATGTAAGTTGTTTTTAAAAGCTTTTTATTTAGATCCGTAGTTTTGTTTTGCAAATCAAAAGAAATAATATTTGCTTTTAAAGTTCTTAATTAAACAGATTGTCTCACTATTACATTTGTCCCATTTGATTTGTTGAGAACATTGAAGTCTCTTTGTGACTACGCAAACAAATGAAGTTTATATAAAGCAAAGTAAATAAATAAAAAGAAAAACAATAATCTGTAAAATGCGGAATTGAATGACCCACAAAAGTGATTTTTGTCGCGTTGAATTTTGCAGCTCGTGTTATGATGTCATGTCATCTACACTTCCATTTGTGATGTGTGAAATTTGACTGAAACGCCGCAAGATTTGTTCTTTCATTTCGATTTTTCAATCTTTTGCAAATATTCTCTCCCCTAATTCTAGTGTGAACATTTTCAGAATATTTTAAATTCTAAAACTTGCTTAATAAGCACCAATACAAGCGCCCATTGACAATCTATTCAGTTTAAATATTCTCATTTTTGCAGAAAATTGATTTGAGAAATGTTTCTCATTCATATGGAACATGTATGCAAATTAGTTTTGCTTTTGAATTTTATTCTCTCAACATCTCACCACAGCAAGACACGACACTCAAAAGTCAAATTCGTATTCAAATTAAATTGATGTTTACAAAGAATTTGCGGAGAAAATTTAAACAAAAATCTTAACAGCTTAAAAACAAGATACTCCCGATGTTTCAATACTCTTGAAAAAAAAAACCTGTCTGTTGGCTCCAGTTGCGGATAAGCTGCGACGAAATTACCAGCAATCTGTTTTGTTTTATAGGACCAGTTCGAATGATCTGGTTAAACGAAATCAAAGCCATACAAATAAATTCTCCCAGTGACATGTCCACATATTGAGCCATAAAAAGAATCTCAAACGATTCAAGCCGCGATCCTCAAACAATTTTTCTACAAATCATTTTCTTTTTCTTTGAAACAAATCTTAAAAGACTTCAATGCGCGAATAAAACGCTCACGATCTAAGCACAAACTAAATTGTGAACAGTACAGTTGCAAAAATTATTGCATAAACCGTGGTTAGCTGTCTAGGCTTATAAAGTACGAGCAACATTGCGAATGGCATTGCCATTCCGGGAGAGTTGACCAAAAATAGAAGCAAAGACTTTTTTCTGTTAAGCTAGCTCATAGATAAAAGAAGTTAAGTAGATTGTCAAACTTTACTTAAGTGTAATTGAGAAGAAAGTATTACTAACGATTGTTGTTCTTGATAGCTTTATTATGAATTTTTGTTTATGGCGATCTCAAGCACACAAAGTAATAAAGAGAATATAAAGATTCGAGAAGGTGGCTGCTTGGATATTTGAGACTATCCCGTTCAAATCTTCTACTTATTTCAAAAGAATGAACACTTTTGTGTAATGTAAATAAGAAGCAAACCATAAAAGTGTCTTGACCACTTTCAAGTGATGTCACACAAACAGAATTCTCATCAATTAATCTCAAACAAGACAAGTTTAGAAGGAAAAAAAACAAACTTTTCTTAAGATGATGAATTTTTTACTGAAGAGAACAAAACTTTAATGACGAAGAAATGATTTGCCGAAAAGGAAAAAAAAGTTTCATGCATTAATATTTTACAGTTTTGAATGTTTTAAATTTAAAAAGATTTCAAAGCTCCGCAAATTGTTTCTTGGACCTTCAAATACATGCTTTTAACTGAATTAATGACTTTCGATTATTGTTATACAAGCATAATGCGACATGCTGCCAAATGTTTTTTAATGACGCGATAATTCTCGGAAGCATTATACCAACAGTTAGGATGAAAGGTGAAATGAGGTTTAGTGGTGGAGAAATTTTCTGATGATTCTAAATCTGCCAAGCACTTCCCACAATGAATCCCATTTTTCACACTTTTATATTTTCTGACTCACAATTTCGTTTCTTTTTTTCTCGATTTCTTTACTTTTTTTACAATAATAAAAAAGATTTCTTCTTAAGCAGAACTATCAGAAGCATATGAATTTAATTCCTGAATTAATATCAAATTACTAGCTTCATGGCTAGTATAATCAACTAATAATTCACGATTTTTTAATACTTTTCGACAGTATTTTCTTCGTTAAGAACCGAACAACACACCGCTGTTTAAGACGAGATGAAATATAAGACTGTCGCGAGTGGAAAGAAAAGAAACGGAGAAAAAACTTATTATACAGCCGTGTAAATTAATAGGCAATACATCGATAATAAGATAAATAGTGATGATGTGTGTACATTTGTTTACACTTACCTGACACGCTGTAACTTGAATCGAAGTTTTATAAACTTAAATCATTAATTTTATTTAGTTTTTCTTATCATAAAAAGCGCGTGCTAGTTTGAATTCACTTTTGCGCCACAATTATTATGAAACCGACAGCATTTTGCATTTACCAAATTATTTTTTCAAAGTGTTTACATTTTATAATCACATGTGTGATTACCGAATTTAAAAACTTATTTAAGTTATTTCACTTTACTTCTAACCGATTGCAGCGCCCGGGTAAAACTCTTAAACTAAAAGGATTCAAATACATCGTTCGTTATAACGAGAGTTTACTACATTTTAACAGTGTAGCAGGGGATCCGGTGCGTGTGAGACTCGGATAATGCTATTTTCCCGCCGACTTGCGTGGATTGACCCATACAAAGTGCCCAAAAAAATCAATTTTTCATACAAAGTGGTCAAAACCCCTAGTCTGAAGCCTGAATAAATTGTCTGAAGCTGATTACACTCTTCACCCAAAACTGTCTCCTTCCGCGAAATTTTCTCCGTCAGATAAAAATAAATCGATGGGATAGAAATTAAAGTAAACTTTAAACTACACTCTAATAACAACTCTCAAAATAACAAAATGTTAAGTAAGTATTTGGCTTTCATGCCTTTATTATAAGTTATAAGCGAAATTTCTTGGCTAAAACTTTGTAAAATTTTAACAAATACCTATTATATTTTTATTATTATTTCAGGTTGTTGTGCAAAATTAAGCTGCTGCCAGGCGATGAAGCCTCGGTATAAGCGACTAGTAGATAATATTTTTCCAGCTAATCCAGGTGAGTACCTGTTTTAAGATGAAACTTTGGTCAAAAATTAATTTAATTTTTTTTCGATAGAGGATGGATTAGTCAAATCAAACATGGAGAAATTAACTTTTTACTCGCTTAGTTCCCCTGAAAAGCTTGATCGTATTGGAGAATATTTGTACCAGAAAGCAACAAACGACATCAATCGAAGGAGATATAAGTGAGATTGAATAAATTAAAAAAATTTGGCCTTGAAACTTTATTACATTTTTAAAAATATTTTAGATTGGTTGAAATTGCTATGGAAGCGATGGATTTATTGTTGATGGCATGTCATGCACAAACATTGAATCTCTTTGTTGAATCATTTCTCAAAATGGTACAGAAATTATTAGAAGATTCCAATCCCAATCTTCAGATAATGGCAACAAATTCTGTGAGATTTCAATTTATGTTTACGATTTTCTTTTATTTATCCTTTTAAAATTAATTCCAGTTTGTAAAATTCGCAAACATTGAAGAAGATGCTCCATCTTATCATCGTCGTTACGACTTCTTCATCTCAAAATTCTCATCAATGTGTCATGCAAGTGTTGATAACACGGATCTTCGGAACAACATTAGAATGGCAGGGATAAAAGGACTTCAAGGCGTAATTCGTAAAACGGTCTCTGATGATCTTGTTGAGAATATTTGGGAACGTCAACATATGGAAAAAATCGTTCCTTCACTTTTGTATAATATGCAATCGGGAAGCACGAGAGATGAAGTCAATGAAGAGCATCCTTCAACACCACCACTTCTAGCTGAATCCGTTCTTCGAGAATTAGTCTCTCGAGCTTCTTTCGGTCATATAAAGGATGTTTTAAAGCCATTGCTAATGCATCTTGATCATCATCAATTATGGATTCCACATGAGTTTGCTATTCACACGTTCAAGATTGTTATGCTATCTATTCAGCCTCAGTATTCTTACACAGTTGTAGAAACACTGATGACTCACTTAGATCAAACGACATCATCGAAAACTAAAACATCTTTAGCTGTTGTATTAACTAAAATCATCGCAATTGCTGCTGGTGAGAGTGTCGGCCCATCAGCACTTGACATTATCAATAATTTGTTGACATTATTACGAGATTCTGTAAGCACAAAGAATCCAACAATTGGACAATATCAAGAGAATCTCATCAATGCTCTTGGTCAATTTGCAAATCATCATCCTGACTACCAAAAGATTGAAATTATGCTTTTCATTATGAACAAAGTTCCAAGTTTATCAAAGAAAGACCAAGTCGATCAATTGTTGCAAATTATTCTTTTGAAAAGTTTACTTAAAGTAAGCGTTCAATATCGAACAGTTTCATTTGAAAAAGCATTTCCGGCTTCATTCCTTCAGCCACTTTTGAAAATGGCAAAAGTTCCACTCATGGAGACGAGAATCACTGTGATGGAAATCTTACAAGCTTTATTGGATCGTCATAAGAATCAACAGGTTCTTAATGTAATAACGGTTAAAAGTTATCCGGGAATATCACTTGAACCACCGTCACGTTCTGATATAATTTTTGCAAACAAACAAGTCGGAAATTTAATGTCAGCTTTGATAAAAAGTATGATTCAGGATGATAACATCAACGCACTTGAGTCTGCTTATACAACAGCAGCTTTGATGATTTCCGAAATGGGTTGTATTGAAACACTTCAAGAGTTTCTCGTTTTTGTTTTTCATCTTCAAGACACTGTCGTCAGATCAGAAGATTTAACGGTTCGACATAAATGTAACTTGCATCGAATTGTTGTTGCATTAGTTGCTTTATTAAGTCGTTGTGTAGGAGTTTATAATGAATATTGTGAGCAATTAATCGATAGACGAAGAAAAGATGCGCCTTATCTTCTTCCTCCACTTACTGACGACTCTTCTCCAACATTGCATGCAATGATATTGGAAATTCCCGATGAATTATTACTTGACCGTCAACTTGTTGTTGGTTGTTTACAGTCAGCTGGTATTCGAAGTGAAAGATTACAAATGGAAACACTTTTCCCTAACGACAGAAGAGTTTCTTTAATTGATGGTGTAACAGCAAGAGATGGAAATTTGTCTGATACTTATCCAGATGCAGACAGTATTAAAAGTTCACCTGATGTGGCGAGGGTAATTTTTTGTTAACAAGTTTATCATTAACGATTCATGATATTATTGAAACTTTTTCTTCTTACAGAAAACACTTCTCAATATTCAGGAGTTGAATTTACTTGATCTAAACTTTGAAGGTATGAAGAGAATTTTAACTGCGCCAAATGATCAAACAAAAGAGGACGAAGCCAATAAAGAGAAACAAGAATTAATGGTGAAAAATCTAAAAGAACAAGATTTTGATGAACTTATGAAACACACTGAACCATCTGTAAGTATAAAAATATTAAAAATATTAAGATATCAATATCAATATATAATAATTAATTTAAATAATTTTTAATTTTCTCAGCATGATCACATTCAGAATAAATTAAATGAACTTTTTAATTCACTTACTTTGGATCGACCATTCACTGACACCACAGTAAGCAGCAAAAACCAAAAGCCGATTTACGAGAAAAATTTTCCAGAACTGTTTTTCTTTTAAAATGTGAAATTACTAGAAAATTTTGTCTACGTTTCATACGTATTTACGTGAACATGATGAAGGAATGACGTTTACTTACGTAATGTTTCATACGTCAACGTTTTAAGTCTATGTAATTTTCACGTTTTTTTTATTTTCTAAAGCTCTAGAAGAAAATTCCTTTTAAAAATATTTCATTAATTTACTTCTAAATGGATAGCTTTTTACTTGTTTTTATGATAGCTTGCTACACATATAAAATGCAAGGTTGTCTATATTATGTATATTAACTCCTCAATTATTTCACCAGTCGAGTCGAAGAAAAAGATATTTAACGTTCATATTATAATTAACTATGAATGCAGTATCTTAAGTTGATGTATGAAACTTTATGCTTTCACATGATTCCAATCATCATTCTTTAATTACATACTTGTGATTACTTCCATGTTATTTATTATCATATATAAACATATTGATCCAAATTAATCAAAGTGGTTTTGGCTTGTAGTAAAATAATTTTTATCGCTACAAACATTGAAGGATGAATAAATTAATAAATGTTGATACAAATTTCAAACATAAACATGAGTTGACGTATAGAAAATTTGATTTGGGATTTCCTTGGGCATTACTGATTTTTTTATAACATTTATAACAACAATGACCCCGGAAAGAATCCCAAATTATATTTTTCTGATAACTGCTAGAGTTGCATTCTTAATTCTGAAATAACTTTGAAAAAAAACTTTAAGCCATCAAGCCGGTTGGGACTTTAACAGGCCAGTAATAATGCAAATGTGAAACACTGCTGAACCCGGAAAATCCCAATTGGTCTGACGGCTTCAACAAAGTAGTGATATCAAAATGTAGACTTTTCTCGCATCCGCTGTTACGTTGATTGATATTCTCTAATTAAGAAATCAATTTTATGCGGAATAAAATCAGCTTTAACGCATTTTTTTTTATCTCTTTCATCTTCGCAGCTTCAATATTTTTACATAATAAATATTAGATGTGTTCGATGATCTGAAATTGCTACCGATACTGATGATTACATTAAAACTGTTACACGACGATTGAAAATTATTGGATAATTAATGAGCTTTAGAGATATGTCGAACCAATCATCGTTTCCACTCGATATTTAATTGCATCAACATCTTTACCGCTCTACTGATCTTGATTCAATACGTGAATGGTTATTATTTGTCCTTTACTGCTTAGAGTCGATTTGCAAACATTAAATAAATAATTAAAATCTCTTTCTATCACACTTCTACAAATGAGAATATAAAAACGACAAGCTATTTAAAGCGGTAGCGACCATTAATAGTTTATTAAGTTTTACTGTTTAAAACTAATACGGCAGTAACGCAAAAACATTTCACGGTTATCGAAAATTGATGCTTAATAATGAAAAATTATCGACTTACGGTCAGTTTTGTCAACAACATTGTTAAGTCAATTAAAACAGTCAAGCAATGTTAAGAAATATTTATTTGCATAAGTTTATTCAACGTACAAGAAATTCTTCTTTTAATTTGCCTTTCTTTTAAGAAGCTCTTTAATTTTCCTTGTAAAACATTTCACTGCTTTTACGATAATTTCTTGCCTATTTAACTACTTCTCAGCGAGAAGATTAATTTAATGTTGATTTTATTTATAAAGAGACGCTTCAATTTCTTAATAGTTTAATTGCCTTTGATACGTCTATGTACATGATGCATATATGCGAGATGAATTTAATATTTATCAGTGAACTGCAATTATCCATAACATAATAGGCGAGCGCGTCCAACAGAAGCAGGCAGAAATGACATTCAAGACAACAGCGGACGATCTTGAACGAAGACGAATTGTGAATAATTTAAAGCACAGCAGTAGAAATTTATGCGCTGTAATTATCATTGCTAATACATGAAGCTTGGGATTATGTTACATTTTGATGCTGTTGATCCATCAAATGAGATTAATTCTCTTAATTAACATTTTTCGATGCCTCCAGGAATGTTTCATGGACATCGATGCAGCGTCAAAGCTGCAGTTAACAGTAGAAAATGAATTCATCAATGTTTCTTGACATTCATCCGTTCGCGTTTTATCTATTGAATAGCAAAATATCTTTTTCTATGTCGGCTTATCAAACAACTTCTACACCAGTGAATATAAAAAAGAGAAGTTAAAAAAGCGCAGTAAAAACGGTGAAAATTTAATTAATCAAAACTGGAGGATATTAATCACTGAAGCGATAGATAAGACATTAATTGATTAAGAAACTAATTAAACGTGATCTCGTTCATCCCAGCGGTTAAAATAAGAATTGCGGAGATATGATCGACGAAGGCCAATTAATTATGTCCGAAAGCAAAGATTTATATCATCAAAGACTTGTATAACATAAAGCAAAAGCTCTCTAATGCTGTTCAATGCAACAAAAAAAAAAGAGATTTATTATTCCTATTCTCGAGCTATATCCACGAGCCAAAAGAGCGAATTTATTTATCAGCGACTGACCTTTTCATTTTGCTTAATTGACAGATCACTTTTCTGTAAAACGTCCACGGCTTAAGATGGAGATTAACAAACGATAGTTTACATCAGAAAAATGCCGCCAATGATCGGGGATATAACTTGGTATATGGTGTAGTGTCTCTAACTACTCAACTCGTTATATTTCGGCTCTCGAAGCGAGATTTCTGCTTCAATAAAGCGATAAATTTATGACAAGTAAATATAGAGTTGTGATATGAAATTGTGATTTTATCTTTCGTCATTGCACAACAATTTAGTTTGAAAGGATTATTATAAACGCTTTAAATATTTAGTTCATTTCATTTCATAAGAAAAATGCAAAAAAATCAAACTCTCATCTAAAGCAGAAAAAATTTAATCGAAATTTTAATGACTAAACAACCAAAGCTTGAGTCTAAGCTGATTTTTCTAATAAATCTATATTCACGACAACCGTGTAAAATCGTCATACATATGTTCGACCTTCTTTTTTTTTATCATTTCTTCCTCGATTTAAAAATTTTACTGCATTTTTTTTGCTTCCTCGTCTATCCACTCGATTAAGTCTTTTAATTCACTTGCAAATCTCACTTTACCACGTTCATATTTACATGACACGACAAATCAGAATATTCAAACTTTATAACAATCGCACTTAGTGTTACTATTTTATTTATATTTTTAACTGTTATCAATTAGATTTGAAGTCGACAGTTATGCATAGTTTGAAACAGTAGTAAAAATATTTTAATTAAATGTCAAAATGTTTCACTTCAAACGTCACAGTAATAAGTAAGCGACTTGAGTTAGGTTTAAAATTTTAACATCTAAACTGTCCGTTCTGACGCGAGACAACCACCAAAAGTCCGACTCCACTTGACGAGTGTACAAGATTTACTGAGTGCTTAATAAATGTAACATTTAATTCAAGTTATGTTATAAGCGATACCATTATAAATACTTTTATTTCTCTACTTTTCTTTCTTTCTTCTCCTACCATCTCTATCTCCTTCAATTTCCTTCAAAAAAAAGTGATTCTATTTACTTCGTCTCTCGCTTTTTTTCTTCATTCCGCGAAGCTTGACATAAAAGGAGAGATTTAAATTAGAATTACTATTGCCAATGCAGTGTGAAATTTAAAGCGTTTTATGTAAATGGCATACATCTGGCAATTCAAAGTCGCCAGACGACTCTTAGAACTGCAGAGAACTAACAGACATTCAAGCTTAAGATATTTATTGTGTCTATAAAGAGAAAGGTATGAAAGAAGAAAAAATGTATTCATTCTCGAGAATGGCACACGACAAAATTTATTTTCATTTGCTGCTCTTTTTTTTCGGACACGGACTAGAAAAAGAAAGATATTTTTGTAAGTCACGGTTTTTGTGCCTTTTAAAAGTATTTAAGCGAAGCGAATCTGTTTTTTTTCTATTAAACGAGCAATTTTTTTCTTTTTTTGCTAACATTGCCATTTCGCGAGGATAAAGAATTTCTTTTATAGTCTGTTGCTGCTGCTGTTGCTGCATGTCGTGGGCGGAAATGTTTCTTAAAAACACTATGTACCAGGAATTAAATGAATTTATTTGTTACAACGCTTAAGAATGTGGCGTTAAAATTGAACTTTATCTTTCGTTAGGCGTTTTGATGAACGTGCAAACAAATCTAAAGCAGAAAACTCAATTTCTTCTTAAAACGTAGATAATTAAAAAAGTTTTCATTAAAAGCACTTGAGAAAAATCTAAGACCTTTCGATATCAATTAACTTTACACTCCTCTAGGCTCAAATGTCGTTCAACAAATTTACAACTGCTTTTAAGCTACATTAAGATAATTAAATGATCATAAATATGATTCGCTTGTAGTTGCTTTATAGTCATCTTTGGTTCTCTTTTTTCCACAGCTAATAAAGTCCACGAGTAAAGTCACAAAAAATAAGAAATAATCATAACTCACATTGCCTGAGAAGTCCATTAAACTTAACGATCTTTGTCCATGTGATTTAAATGTAGCGCAAATTAATATTGCTCTATATTGATTTATATCAATGCAATTCACTCTACAACATATGACAATAAGAGGAAGAATCAAACACTATGCCATTGATTGTCTCTTACGGCATCAATTAATTTCCATTGAATTACCTGAAAAGTAAACATAAATTGTTGTTGAAGCAACATTAAGAACCCCATTAAGCTCGTGTAAAAGAATGTTTATTTCATTTTAATATTTAGTTAAAAAGTTTTATTTCGTTACTCTCATAATATTTTATTCATGCAAAGTGAATAAATATTTGCAAAATGCATTAATTTGAAGTTGATCAACAGCACAAATTACGGATAGTAAAGCATTAAAACCAACAAGATTTATTTCTATTTTGAAAAAGCAGCAATCATTTTTCTTTTCTTATCTAGCTTTTGATTCAAATTAACATTTTATAAGTGACGATGAAAGCTTTCATAAAGCTGAGAATTTTTTTTTCTTCTTTAAATCGTAACGTTTAATAAAATTACAACATTACAAGAAAGAACTTCTGTTGATCACTAAATGCTGCTAGCTATGTAGCACAGAAAAATGTATCAATTTGCATAAAATTCATTAAAAGGCAAAACACTTTATTGGATGATCCTACGATTAAATGCCTTTATTTAGCATTTCATTCTTTTACCTTTTTTTTCTTTTCCTTTCTACGTCTTTTCACGCTGACCCATGTACATAACATAGTATGTACATACAAAATAAAGCCAGAGGCAGAAAGAATTGAAAATACTGATAAGAGAATCGGAGAACTGGTTTTATTGAACGAATTACAGTTGTTCCGTAATATTTATAATATATGCCTTTATAAAGAGATTTTCTTTCTTTCTTTATTATTTTTTTTTCATGGGCGTGGAGTTGTTCTTGAAATCTTGACCTCGGACAATACTAACGGTGTGTTATCATTTACACATTTTAATGCAACAAGTACACGATCATTTAGTTCGCTTTCTTTAACATTTTTCATTCTATCAACAACAGGAAGCATTTTAAATTCAATTCGGTTATCGATCGTGGATGTTAGGAAAATTGCGTGACTTTGTTAGCTGCTTGCTGCTACACGATTTTTGTTAATCTTGATTTGGCGACTTTATTTTTATGTTTTAAATTTATTTGTAAAACTTTTGAATGTTATCAAAAGTGAATTTATTCACGGAAGCTTTCTGAAATGGTTTTCTTGTTATTATTTCTTTTTCTTTCATTATTGGCTATTGTCTCGTGCTGCTGTTATAAATAATAATTTTTTATGTTGTTGGAAAATATGTTGAATGCTTTTCTCATTTATGCCTTCAATTGAATCCTATCATTAATGTTAGTAAGCAAGCAATTTAACTAGAGACTTTTAAAATATAGTTCTTAAGCGCCTTAAACAAATGTCGATGAATTTTTATGATTTTACGCGCTATTTCATTTCACTAACCAACGAATATTATTTTATTGCATTACTTAATTATTGTTGGCTTTTCATTGTTAGTTGTTCACATGACTAACGATGATAATAAATGTAAATGATGGTGCTACTTCTCGGATTGGACAAGCAACTGCACTTCATGAAATGTGAGATTTAAGCTTTGCAATGTTTAGTATCAGTAATTATCTGATTCAGAAGCAGCAATGACATTTATGTAAACGGAGATTATTTGCAAATAAGCTGAAGGCCAATGATTTTTTATGCATAGCAATTACCTATGTTGCAACAGAAAAAAAAGCATAGGATTATGTTACATACATACATTTTGATACAACAGCTATGATCCATCATCAAAAGCTTTAATCAACTATTTTTTATATTTTATTTCTGCACTCAGGCGCTTTTCAAAGTACTTTTGCATAAATCAAAAAAGCAAAAATATTGCTCTTGACTTCAGAAAAATATTTCCTTATGAGTGAAATATTGAAAGTCGGTTATCGAATCACCAACGATCTCCTAACTCTCTAAATACTAAAAATACTTTAATTTCTTTACATTTTTCTTTGAGCGATTTGCAATGTGCTTCAGATTGAAAACCATTGGTTTATTTAATTCTTTGAGGGAGAGAAAAAAAATGAAAACAAAAACAAAGAACATCGATTGCGAGTTTCTGATCTGAAAGGCGAAGCATCTTATTAAAGTGGTAAACTACATTCTCCATTCATAGATAACATGGAAGAGTTAATTGAAAGGAATGCGCTACTTCTTTGGTTATCTTAAGACGTGAACATTATGTCTGAAACGAAATTTATCTTTCAAACGAGTGAATTATGCTCTGACAGGTTCATTTATGGAGCGAAGCGGAGGTAATCTAGGGCTTTTATTAAGCTATTTATCTACATCACTACTTGCTTACTTGCTTATTGTTTGGCATGACCTTTAGATCTGAGAGCTTTATGATTGCAACGTTTAATTGACAGATTAACATCGAATAGATATGGTCACAGTTCGAGACGGAATTGCAAACTTGTCTCGCTTTTGAGCAATGAATAATCAAACAATGTTGACAATGAAGTTCGTAAATCATAATCAAAAGATTTGAAAGGTGTCCAGGCAATCGACTCAACTCGATATGGACACGTTAATCACATGTATCTTACCCACATTTTTCGTCGAATTCAAATGGTTTATATCTTTTTAATAAAACCGAGAAAGAAATTTAGATCGGCTTCTCTCAACTGACGATAACCGGTTGATCATGAATTCTGTTTTTGACGCCTTTGCAATAAATCTTTCTTAATTGGAAATTTGTTTTTTTAATGTCTTAATAAGTATATAAGTAACAAAGATTAGATGTGAAAGAATATTTAATGTCGATAAATAAACGTCTAGATTCATATAAATGGTCTGCGAATAATTTTTCTATTTTAATAATTTTTTAAGGTGATCATGAAATAAATGAAATTATTTAAATACTTTGAACTTTCACTAAGTATGATCAGATTCTATGTACATGAAATAAAATCCTTGACCACATTTCAAAGCTGAAGTTGAACAAGATGAAAGTTAAATCACAAATTAACATGAAAATTGTTCTAATCTTATTTGAGTTCAGAACAAGCGAACTTTGCTCAAACTTAACTTTACAAATTTTTCACAAACTTGGTACTTGTCTTGACGAGTGTACAAGATTTACTGAGTGCTTAATAAATGTAACATTTAATACAAAATGTTTTTTTTCTTCAACATTGGCTCTTTTTTCTTTTCTTCTTTCGCGTCTAAGACATTTTTTTTTCCTTTTTTTCATTTCTCCATATGAACATTCCGCGCGAGCGCAGAAAAAAAATTTAACGAAAAGAAAGAAGAAAAAGAAGGAAAATAATCAGATATTTAAAAATAAATCATACATTATCATCGATTGTAGAATTGGATGTATCAGGTTGAATACGAAGGGAGTGAGAAAGAGAGTGAGATCATTGGAATTGAAGAAATTAAGCATAGTTCATTATAGTACGAATCTTAGACAATAATCATATGGCAACACTGAAACAAACAAGCAGAAATGTTACACAAAAGAAGAAACAAGAATGTTGCGTACAAGTTCGAAAGATATCTAAGCATCGTATGAAGAGAAAGGTGAAAAAGTATTTTTCATTAACGAGACCGCGAGACATGAAGAGACATGCTCTGAATTGTACCGATACATCATGAAACTTCAAATAAATGCGAAGAGTAAAGGTCCTTGTGTCAATGCGTCATCAGTGTCACTTTTGTTGTTTCCATTCAACCATGTAGTACAAAGTCAGTCAACTTCAATGAACACCGTTAACATTGGGCTTAAAACTAAAATCCAATACCCTCTCTCAACATTTACAAACTTTATCAATTAATTTCAATAAATTGACTTACATGTAATGTAAACATAAATTTCTTCTTAAAGAGCATTAAGATTCCCATTAAGAGCGTGTAAAATGTTCGTTTCATTTTAATAGCTGTGAAATTCAATTTCAATTTTTTTTTTTGCATTTTCACTCTGCTCGCTTAAAAGTCTGTTTTCGCGATCATCAAACTGCATTTAAATGTTTGTTATATTTAATGCTACTCAATAGATGTTTGTTCACTTTTAGAGAACGAGTCATTCAAATAGCTTTAACATCACTGATCAATAATGCCACTTCATGGAGAAAATGTATCAATTTGCATAAAATTCATTAAATTGTGAAACACTTTATTGGATGATCCTACGATAAAATGCATTCTTACCACGCTGAGTCGAACACGAGAGAAGCTAAAGGAAAAGAAACATATTGTCGATTAAAGTTGACTTCGAGAATTTTTCTTAATCGTAAGAAAAAGCAATGGAGGTGTTTGCTAATGACTTATAAATGTCGTAATCATTTGAATTTTGTATCTTAACATTGCTCAACATTTACAACTTCTTTAAAGTTAAAAGATGAACAAATTCTCGTTAATCATCCACCTGAGATTTCTTTCTTCCAATCCATGACCTGAGACACTTTTTAAATATTCATTTTGTCTTGGAAATGGTATTTTATTTCTCTGGATCGTAACTCAAATACAAGATCGCTTGTACTAAAAGCAATTAAATAATAAATATTGTTGGCAATGACATTAAATTTTATAGATTACATCAATTGATTGGATAATTGTAGAGGTGATGAGATGGGATTCCGCTCTACTGAACTTAATATACAATTTTCCTGTTATCGAAAAGGAAAAACAGAGATGTTAACTGCTAAACAATAGAGTTGAAGTAAGTGTAAAAAATGGTTAGAAATTGATGAAGTCGTATGTGATAATGAATGAACATGATCTATATTTTTTAATTCCAATAAATTACATTCAAACAAGTGCTTTCGACCGTTATCAAAGTGTCGAGAGGGAGAGAAAGAAAGAAATATATAGAAATTGCATTTTTCTCATGATCACAAGTAGCTTGAGAAAATTTTCTTATAACGAGTGACATGTTGCTGATAAGAAGATAATTTCTTACGTTTTCAACTGCTTCCAATGGCGAAGATTAATTTAATGTTGATTTTTATAAGTACAAAGATGCTTCAATTCCTCAATAGTTTAATTATCATCGAGAAACTGCTTTTGGAATGTACTCTAGATCTTGAATCTGGTCAATTTAATATCACTGAACCGCAATTAACCACCACAGCATAGCAATGAACTTACAGAAGCAGGTTGAAGTGATATTTGAGATAAAAGTGGACGATCCTCGACGAAGACAATTTGTGAATAATTTAAAGCACAGCAGTAAAAATTATGCGTTTCAATTACCTTTTCTAAACAGTTCAGCAGGTGATATAAACTAAAAAATGCGAAATTATCTTGCAGTTTTATTCATGCAATCCATCAATGGAGCCTTAAAGAAAGTCTTTTTTATAACTTTGCCTCAAAGCAATTCCAGCGTTTATTTGAATAAATCAGAAATCATTCCACTAAAGAAAAACATTCCTTCGAGTGAATTATTGAATCTGAAAGTCGGTTATCGCTCGTACAATCATCAATCTATTAACATCGTTGCAGGCCATTAGCAGTTGTACAATCTGAGTAAAAATATCTGCATCATTGTAATTCTTTGATTGAGAAATTTTTTGCTTTACTTTTCAATAGATGTATAAAAATTTTATCAATGAAACCTGATAATGCAGTTAACATTCGAGAGGATTATGGTTGCAACTAAACGTGATGGGAAAAGTTGTAGATCGTAAATTTTAATTCAAACTGATAATGAAGTTAGATATCATGTTAATTGATTGCGGCTTATAAGGATGAAAAATAATTAAACACGCCGCAAATTGGGAGGTAAAACTTGTTTTGGTACATTTTTATGTCTCAAATGAGACTACAATTTGCATAAAAGAATTTTATGACTGCACATCATTTCTCAGTCCAATCCTTCCCATTCATGATGATCTCGTAAAGTAATTACAAGAATTTTTAAACTTATGATTCTTAAACTGTGCATGAAACCGTGGATTAAACGTGTAAATATTTATGTTTCAACTCTCAATCCAATCATCAGGTTTGGTCTAATAATTTATCACACCAATAAAGTGCTTCACAATGTTAATTTACCATCAACTATTCCTGTCGTTATTATCCGACGTACTACTGTTCTATGATTTTTATCTGACTTAATATTGCAAATATTTGAACGTAGAGATGATTTTGAAATTAATTATGCCAATGAATATTCAATAAATAATCACGTAACAACTTTAATATTTATCTTTTGAAACAAGATACGTTGAGCATGATATCAATTTACTCCGCAGTGTTTATGTCTAGTTCATTTGATTAATCAAGCAATTAAAAACATGTAGTCTGAATAAATTTATTTGAGAAAAACTTTCATTAGAAAAATTGCAATTACGATTGTGAGAAATTGAAAAATTAATCCATTTTATGTAGGGAGGTATATAAAATCATTTGAATATTGAGTAATTTATTTTATTGAATGATAGTTTCAATAAATGATAAGAAGAAAAGAATTTTGTTTCATATTTGTCTGATGACATCAGTTAGCTAAATATCAAAAAAGAAGAGGAGAGAAAAGCTCAATTAAGCCTTCTCCATGCTGTATGTAGAGCCATCTATGAGTTTATGAAATAACTTTACAAAAACATTAAAATACTTGAATGTTTTCTGTCCGAGGCCATGATAACAAAAACATTGCCAAAAACTCAAATGAGTTTCTTCGAGGAAGAATGTAATATTGTGTCACTGTGATTTCGATACTCTTTTCTATTGAGTAACTCTGATTGGCATTAAATATTATTTTTGTGACATTATTTGTAAAATTTCATTGATAAATTTCAATTAATCCTTATTTAGGGTATTTGATTTTTTGTCTTTCTGTTTGACATTTTCAAATGGAACACGAAAATCAGATCTTTGAGCTATTTGTTGGCTATTCTTTGTACGATAATGTTTTAAATCAGATGAAAGCCAACTCATCTGTGACTCTAATCAAAGGGATAAATAAAACAATCTTGGTGAGTTTAGAATTCATACCGAAAATTCATTTTTGAGAATAGCAATATTTCAGTTTGATACACTTACCGCCTGGGACAGCGAACTTCTTCTAAATGAATTAAAACGACATCATGTTGAACCAGACAATATTGATTACGTTATTTGCTCTCATGGACATGCTGATCATGTTGGGAATCTCAACTTATTTTTAAACGCTTTTCATTTTGTGGGAACCTGCAAGTCCCATAGGAACATTTATTACTCAATTGATTTTGACAAAGGACCATACGTCATTGACGATGGCATCGAAGTAATAGCAACACCAGGACATACTTCAACATGCGCGTCTCTCATCGTTAGAAACACAAATCTTGAAAATAATTCATCAGTGGCAATTGTTGGTGATTTATTTGAGAAAGAAGAAGACATTTTCAATGAAAGTCTCTGGCTTGGAGCTGGAAGTGAATATTTTAAATTACAAAGACAAAATCGTTTGAAAGTTGCTGAAATGGTCGATCACATTATACCAGGACATGGACCAATGTTTAAAGTTACTGATGAAATACGTCAGAAGTTGAAAGAAGATGCAGCTAAAATTGACAACGCTTAATTTACTTTCATGCATTTTATTGCAAGACGCATACTGAAAAAAAACCAAAGAATTGACATAAAAACTGTTTGCATTTTAGATATCTCAGGATTGCATATTTATCAATTATCTGTCTATTTACAAAACATGAAGTTTTAAAATGTGTCAATTTTTATCTATGATAATTAAAGGCAATTTACCTACTTAATGTTGAAATAAAAATGTTTTTGAATTGTTTGCTCTTTACAGTATATAAATCAATCGAATGTCAGCCAAGTTACAAGTTCTACATTTTATTATGTTTGCAATCGCATAAAAGCAGCAATATTCAGAGTTTTGAATTTAGTTTTGAAAATGAAATCTTTGAGTTATCATCCATTCATTTTCTTTGCATTATTTTCTGCTGTTTACAGTGACGATTTTATTTGTAACACGACCGGACATTTTCCGTTTTTCGTCGAAATTCATAAAAATGACGAGTTATTGTGCTATGGAACTCTAGTGCATCGTCAATGGATTGTTACATCATATCAATGTGTGAATTTTATCAAAGGAAACAACTTGGCAATTGTGAAATCACAGGATCAGAATCAAACGATTACCCACATTTTCGATGATTTTCCAACTTTTAATGAGCGTAAAATTTCATTAATTCGCGTCACAACAAACTTTATAAAAACGAATTTTACAAATTTCATCCCGATTTCACCTGACATATTAAGTGATTATTCGCTAGTTCAAGTTGTTGGAAGCGGTAATAAAACTTTGCACGATGTAAAGTTTGATTATTTCATTAACATGGGTAGAGATGATAACTTCTGGAATCGATATCCTTTGTTCAAACTGAAACCTTTGAGGAAAGGCTCTACTTACTTTGTAAGTTACTTACTGAAATCTCAAATGAAAAAAAAATAATGCTTTTATATTTACAAAGGTTGGCTCACCTGTGATAAGTGAAAATAAATTATATGGAATTGCAACTGACTCTCAAAGTTCTGAGTCGAGAAATGACGGATATTTTGCAGATTTAAGTGTAGCACATGATTGGATTTATCAAACAATCAACAGATTTCCAAATAATCATGGTAAATTGTCCAACGATGTCGAAGATACTTCTACAACTTCAGAATTATTTTAAATTTTCACAGTAGCATAAATATGAAATGTATGTTGTTACATGATAGCATAAATAATAAATAAAAACATATTAAAAGTATTGATAGAAAGTAATAAAATGCATTAAACATTTTTTCTTTTTATTCATGTCGAATAATGTACATCAAAAATTCTTTCTTACAATTTTTATATTTTTCTTCTAACGGACAAATATTATTTTTTCTTAATTAATTTATGCTCATTTCATTTAACATTTCTCTTTGTTAATAAACTAAAAATTGGATTTAAATTATAGTTTTAGTTTAATCAGTCTATTTGTAATCCATTTATTCAATCACAATGTGTTTTTACGTCTATTGGTTTTTCTTTTGTCTTCGAATTTTATTTTATGTTAATTTTTCTCATTAGAATTTCTTTTGTATGAAACAAGAGTTAACAGCTGAGCATAAAAAGGTTGAAAGTTTATTGCATTTTTGCCCCGTTTTGCTTATTTTTCAATTAAATGTAAAGTTTAAAAAAACAAACAGAATTTTCGATTCCAACACATAAAGAAATTAAAATTGTCTTAGAAAAAATGAAAAACTAAAAGAATTTAAAGAAATAAACTTGAAAGTTGATAACTAAAATCTAATCATTCTTATCAGTTACGAAATTGAATACCATGATAACGAATCATGTTGTTTTGAAAGAAATTATATTGTGAGCAAAATCTCAAAGTAAATTAAAATAAATGTAGAAAGTCAAAATCGCCTGAGAATTTTCTCGTCATGTGAACTTTGTATGACACATGGCCGTAGATACTTTTCTTTTAAGATAAACTATAAGATTTTCATTCTTAAAACTAAAACGAAACGTTACTCAGTCTTTAAGAAAATCAAAAAATAAAAAATATATTTTTGATATGAAATGAAATTCAAGAACAAAATATTTAGTAGATAATTAATCATGAATTTCGTATTGAAATGTTTCCTGAATGATTAATTTATGGCGATTTTCATGGCTTAAAAACGTCAAAGCTAGAAAATGCAGTGATTTAATGCTGACATTTTTAAAATTGTTACTAATCAAAGTGCATTGGCCGTTCAGTTTCCGATGGCTTAAAATAAGTTATCAATTAAGAAAATATCTTTTAAAAAATGCATAATATTACTAAAAAAAGGAAATTAAACTAAAATATATATAAAATTGATTGATTGTGTACGTAAAGTTATTGCACCCCCTATAATAATTGAAATTTTTCTAAACTTATAAGTCATCATTTCTTATGAAAAATTCTTCACTTCTTTTGTCTTAGATAAGTTCTTATTACGTGTTTTTTATAAATGTCTGTGTTTGTTTTTTACTTTCCTTTCTTGTGAGTTTGTGAGTACGAATTTACAACAACAAATTTTTATTTTTGTCTTTCTTATCACTACACGAAGTAAATATTATTTTTCTAAATGTTCTCCCTTGCAAACCTCTTATAACGAATGAACACCAAATTTATGTTGCAGCACTTTCTTAAGACACATTTTTCATTTAATTTAAGCTTAATTTTTTTTCGTCTTTTTCTTAATCAGCCTTCGACAGCTTGAGATGTCAACTGCTTTCTAAAACATCAATAGTATCGTCTAATTTCATTATTATTTTTATAATTATCTTATAATACAACAGTTAACATATTTCCTTTGTTTAAATACATTTTATCATGTTTTTAATTAAAAACTTTAGTTAAAGAAAAATTTTCAACTTTTTTAATTTTAATTTGAAACTAAAAGAAGTTCGCATTGCGATTTAAAACTTTAAATAAGGCCATTGAAATGCGCAAATTACTTTTCATATCTATCAGTAGTAGTAAAATGATGAAAGAATAAAATTGTAACAAACTAATTAAATTCTAATTAGTACGAGGTAGTTGTTTGCATGCGGATGAGAATTCACTCTTAGTTTTGATTTGTTTATGAATAAGAAGAACGAAAAAACTTAAACTTAACTTCAACTGTTTGGTCCATTAGATAATTTTGATAAAGACTTTTGTTTTTCTAACTTTCGATGGTCCTTAAATTTCATTAAATGTTTCGTTTGTTTGTTTTTTTTTCGCTGAGTGATTAAAGCCGCATTATTATATTTAATTATTATTTTGATTCGTTGGGTGAGAGGAGAAGAAAAGAAGGAACAATCTACAATAGTACAGGAACTTCAAGTAATCTTATTCGTCGTAATTTGCCGTTGTTGTTGGCGTGAGTGCAAGTGGTGATGGATCTGAAAGATTAGCTTTAAACTCACTTTTATCAAGAGCTAATGGTTGTTCCATTATACTCGGTGGGGTTGTTGACGATGGTTCTGAACGTGGTGATGAATATTTCATAGGTGGTACAATAACACCACGTGGTTGTTCATTTGCGGTTGTAGTAAACGGTGGGGTATGAACAAGTGGTGGTGTTACTGGTGGTGGAGATTCACGTTTTGAAAGTGAAAGATTTTCAGCCCTTTCCGACATTGTGTCCATGTCTTCATCACTTTCTTCAACTGGTTCCCTTTTTATTGATGATGATGTTTGTTCTCCATTTGAACGACTCCTTTCACGTTCTCTTTCACGATTCATTTCAACTCCGAGGTTGCGATTTATGTATTTTGAAAGCATACTCGGACTTTGCGAACCGTGGGCGTGTGGACTGGTTTGTCCAATTCCATTAAGTTGCGCATGAGCCGCTGCTGCCAGTGCCATAGCATGTAAAGCGTCACCTCTGAAATCTTCACCAGTTCGTGCTTCAAGCGCTTTTTGCAGAAAAACGGGATCCAATAAACTGGCTGGATGTGGATTTGCACGATGTTGATTTCTCATTTCTTCGAGTTCTGGATCGAAGTCTTGTGACTGTGACAATTGGTTATCTTGATTTGGATAGAGACCAAAAGCACCAGCAGCTCCACTTAAAGATCCATAAGGAAATGCGGCACTACTCGAACATGGACCTGAATTTTCTCGACTTTCACGTTTCATTGATGAACGATTTCTCGGCGTTCCCGTTGTTATTCCTAACTTCTTCACTTTATCGTACAGAGTACGTGATGGCACACCAAATTTACGACTTGCTTGAAGCGCACTCATTCCATTACGAACACATTCAATAGCCGACATGATGTCATTTCTCGTATATTGCTTGTAACGCTTCCATTCCGGTTTTTGGCCTGAACTGCCTTGACCACCTTGACCGTGATGTTGTTGATGGTATTGAGCTTGCTGGAGTTGATGTTGTTGCAAATATGCTGCTGGTAGTCTCATGTCAGCTAAAAATTCTGGTGGTGATGTTCTTCTTTCTCCTGTCAATGGTTCATCATCAAATGATCTATCAGTAAATGGTGATGATGGTTCTTCGTCTTTGAATTTCTATGTCAGAAAGAATTAAATAACAACAAATATAATTAGTATTTAACACTGTCAAATATTTGAATTGTGTAAAAGGATATTTACCTTATCTGAATGATCACTTCCGTTTGATGAATGATAGCTACGATCACTACTTTTTCTCACGTATCCAACATAAACTGAACCATTGTTTCCACCACTCGTGTTACCTGCATTTGCACCTCCAAAGTTGTTTGCATTGTTATTGTTCTCATTGTTGTTTGTGTCGTTATTTTCATCGTTATTGTTGTTATTATTATTGTTATTACCACTTCCACGAGGCGGACTTGGATTTGCATTCAAAGACAGTGCACTTTGTGATGAATCAGCGGCATTTGATTGAGCAAGAACATTCCTTAGGATCGGCGTGTCACGTGTCATTAACATTGAGCTTATAGATGAGAGTTTCTTACGTTTTAATGGATTCATATCAGATCCTGATTCATAAACTGAACTGAGCATAGATTGAGCAGAACGTGACAAAGGTAATGGCAATGGTGGCCATTGACTTCTTCTCTCTTCTGAAGTTTCCTGAACTGGAGCACCAGGTAAAAGTTCACGAGAATTATTTGTACTTTGCGAATAAAAACTAGCGATATATGGCGACTTATGTGGATAAGGTGGTGATGACGAACTCTGAGCTGATGAGATCTTAGTTGAAGTTGTGATGATTGGTGATGAATGTGTTAGCGGATGATGATAGGTTAAATGGTCACGCTTTGCTTCTGTCGATACACTTGGATTTGATGATGGTCGAAATAAGCTGCTTGGTGGACTTGTGATGGGCTGTTGCTGTTGTTGTTGATGCTGTTGTTGGCTTATATTACTCGTGAGATCAACCATATCGAGAAGACCTTTAACTTCCAACATTTTGGCAATTTTCATGATGCGTGGAATTTGAGACTCGGCTATGTTTACTTCTCCCGCATAAATATATTCAAGAAGCGTTCTCATTTCAAATTCTTGAACGCCTGGAAAAATTATACTGCAATGATCTTGCGGTGCATCTTGAAGGATTAATTGAAAATATGGCGAACATGCTGCAAGTACGACGCGATGTGCTTTGAATTGTACGTGATTATCAACATAAATTGTGCAATCAACATAACATTCCATCTTGATGAGAGACTCCAAAATCTCCACCAAGTTCGACTTGTGATTATTCCATCGAAGACAAAAGCCTTGGCCATCAGATGAATAAACACCTGTGCCACTTTTGTTGCCTCCATTATTTATTTCACTTCCACTGCCCATGTTTTCTTTCTTCCTTCCTTCCTTTTCACAATTATCTAATTATCGATTTATTGTTCGTGCTTTCGAAAACTTTTTCTAGAGGAGAAAAAACGAGAAAAGGGAAAAACTTATTAAAATTTTAATACTTTATCGTCATATCGTCAAACGTTTTGATAAATATTAAAACTAGCAACGAAGTTCGATGAAGATTTGTGTTCGTTTATGCTTAATAAAATTAGCATTTGAATTATTTCCTTGAAATTCTCGCACATACATTATTAGGCAGCGATTAAATTATGATTTTAATAAGTATGACAATGTAATTCACATGAAATCAAAGTCAAACGTTTTAAACAGTATTCGCTTTTCATATTATTGTAAAAGCTTTTCCATCATTCTACATTATGCAAAAAGCGCGCAATTATACTTTTTTGCGTTCTCTACAACAATAATATTAAGTAGAGTGGTTTCTTTGTGGGTAACATATTTTTCCCTCCACCCACACCGGCCGTTGCGATTCTCTCATTCATTTCGCATTCAGTCAATAACCGTTCGTGTCCACTGGCTTATAGTTGAAAAATCGCATTTTCTTCATTTGCAGAGGTAAAATGAGCAATTTTAGCTCAAACATGAAAAATTCATCTACTCAGACAATCGAGTTGTTGGACTATTGCAGAACTACCCACCCTCTACTTTTAGCGAGCATGAAAAAGTCACGCGATCGCCAATATTTTTTTATTCTTTCTTTTTCCCGTTTTTTGTTCCAAAGTGAAATTGTGCTTTTTTTTTTTTCAAATAATTATAATTTTATGTGGTTTCATTGTTGTTATCAGTCAGTGGCGCAACTGGATCAGGAGAAAATCAATGTTTATGCATCAACAATTTTGATATCAAACATCACAACTTTTGGACGACTTCACTGTTGGCTTTTATTTTATTTTTTTCTTTTTCTCACATAATTTCGCGCTGTGCTAATTTTTTGCTGTTTCCGAGTCGCGATGGCTACATGCAAGGATATTTGAATGGCGCTCAATGTAATTTCACATTTTGCCATAAGTATCCAGTTGGAAATAAATTTTTATTGATTAAAATCAGGGATTGGAACTGGCACTTTTGTTTCCATTGTAATCGTAATGAAACTAAAACTTGAATTAAAATCATTTCCGATGGGTTGACGTTTAAATTTGATAGCAAGGAAAAATTAATTTATGTTTTCCAGACATTCACTCAAAATATTCAAGGGCAAAAGGAAGATTGACGTCTGTAACTCAGTTTGTTCATGTGTATGTTTATAATAGTAGAACAAGACACCTGTGTAGATTTTTTGAGACACATTCAGCTGATTACGATCTAACGATAACCGTATTCGCAAAAAAATACGTCAAATGATTGCGGCGTAAAAGGTTAAGTTGTTGATTGTTGAATCATTCGCGACTATTTTCTTTGCGTAGGGCTTCATTTTTTCATTTCTCGATGATGTGTGCGAGTGTGTCGATTATGCTTGTGTAACTTTGTAATATTTTAACCTCAAATGCTTTCAAAATAACAATTGTGAATGAATTTTTTTTCACATTATCACACTGCTTATACCTCAAATGCCTCAGCACTCTCATGCTTCACTAGAACGTACTTCCACGTTGATAAAAAAATTTGTGGGAAATTTTAAGAAAACAAAATGTGGCTAAAATTATTTTTCGATATTTCACATTAGATTTAACACTTCTAGAAATTCAAAAACTACAGCATTCACCACAACATGATACAGTTTTCGTTTGATTATCATTTCCAGACATTTATTGTTAGACTTTGCTCTTCAATTCGAGACCTCGCAGATAGCAAAATAAAATTCTACTGAGAAAAACTAACGAAAAATACGAGCAGAAACACTTTTTTACATCAGCTTTTTGCGCATAATTTTCGTAAACTGTGTAAACAACTAGCAAAAAAATATGTTTATCGCGCGCCAAACGTTGAGAGCTTTAGAAGAAGAAGCATTTTTTTTCTTGTGTTCGTTTGAATCACTCGTGTCGGGGCATTTTATACGCGAACAGTTTAAAAGTGTTGTAAGTTGTAAACCTTCAATGAAATTATTTTATTCATTTTTTATTGGATTTTCGTACATAAGCAAAAAAAAAACATCTAAAAAATAATATTCTGGTTTAACATCTTATGTGAATATATTTACGTTGTTGTAACGAAACGTGGTCTTCAATAATACCATGTAATCATCACTCATTGAAGAATCGAAACAAAAACAAAATTCCTAGAGAATCGGAGGGGTTGTGTGCGGTGGAAGAGAACAAAAAGAGAAAGAGAATCTTAGTCGAGAAAAACGAAAATTAAATATTTCCGAAATGAACAATTTCCGGTTTCTTGAGTGGCAATAAAAATTATTTTATTTCCCGAAGATTTCCAAAAATAAAAGAAGACTCGCATTTCAAGAATGACTTTGAGGGTAGGAACTGCAATACTCCAGTTTATAAAAACTATTTGATGAACTACTGAACATACCTGTTTAAGAAAAATATTTCTCGAATTAATCCAAATCTTTACTTTAAATTTTATTTCTTTTATAATCGCTGAATTTTTGAAGGCTTTTTTCTTGTTTAATTTTGCTATTTTTAAAAACAAAAAACTTTTGATGCAACATTCAATTCTTTTTTTTTAAAAAATTCATTTAAACTTATGACAATGTTTTGAAGGCACTAAATTTCATATCGACACGAATATTTATTTAATTTATTGTTACCAAAAAATCATGCTGCAGTTTATTTTTATAAAACAAAAAAATCCGAAACAGTTTAAAATTTTTAAGTGAAATTTAAATTCAAATGCACACGCGAGAAAAACTTTAACTTTTCCACGACTTCACTCACTCGATTTTCATTGCGTACTGTGCGACTATTTTTTTCGAACTTTATGCTAAGGCTGTGTAATTTTTTTTTCTTCTCCTCTTGTGTTATGTCGAGCGATGAAGTGCCAAAGGAGAGTTGGTGGATTTGTCTGCGTTTGTGTCGTGAATGATTTTTCTGTTTTTCTTTTCTTCTTCTTCTTTTATTGCATCGATGTAGTGTAAAAAACTATTTTTTATGCTGTAAGCAGCGACTTTTCTCCGACAACTTACGACAACAAATCTCGATGCACGACTGTAGAAAAATTCATACAAGTCTTCTTCGATGGACGAAACGAACAACTCGTTCAATACTACTATATGACGATCGTAGGCAAAAGCGATCTGTTTGATAAAAAATATTGCATTCAAAGCATTGTTGCATGCTAGCATAACTTGTGGATGTGTTAGTACGACACATTTCACTATTTTGCTTCTTCTTCCCTCTCGCTTTTCCTCGTACGTTTGTGCGAATACGATTGAAAAGGGATGGAAAATCATGTCATGAGCTTATCTATGTGTTCGTGCTTTAGTCGTCAGTGAAATTCGGGACAAAAATGCGTAATTTTTCTTAATTCTTCGTCTTGATCCGACGATTTAAAGTAACACTAAAGGCACTAACACATGTTGACAAGAAATCTTAAAAATGCACTCATTGAAATGAAATGATACGAAATGTTGTTTTTAAGCATAAAAAAGTCAAAAGCCGTTCCAGACGAAAACTGGAGGGGGTAAATCTTAATTTGATTCTGGCATCTTCTGAGACGATGCATCACACACTTTTTAGAAGATTTTAAAAGTAAAAAATATTGTTGAAGAATTAATAGAATAAATAACACAAAAGAACACAACAATTGAGCACGAGAAAGAACACACAAAAATAAATGAAAGGATTGCGAAACTACTTATTGTGCAACATTGTTTATGAGGTGACAATAAAAGTTCGTGCAGGTCTCCGTTCGAGCTTTAAAATTACTTAATGATTGCCTATAAAATCTTTTTCGCAAATTGTTCTTTCTCGGCTTCCTGCCACTTTTATTTTATTATGAAACCAAAGTGCTTCTCTGACCTGAACTTTTGCATTAAACATTTGTGCATTTCTATGAAAAGGAAAATCAAAATTCAATGAAAAAGAAAAACTGAATTCAATTAATTTGGCAAAATTTTGACGTAAAATTTGAATTTCAAATCATCATTTAAATTGCTTTTAATATTGCTGCCAACGTGTCGCGCTTTTCTAGATGTGACAAATGAAATTTGTGTGTCGTTTTCAGGGGCAGTTCATTCAACTTCGGTGTCGAAATGCAATAGCATAATATTTACAATTCCCCAAAACTAAACTGTTTATTTCTTTGTTTGTAGATTGAAATTTTTTTTCTTCTTCTTTCGTGACAGAATTTCGTCAAATTTCCAAAATGCGTAATATGAGTTTCGAAAAATGTGCATTTTATGATTTCTCGATAGCATTGCGCACTGTTTCTCATGAAATTTCTAGTGACTAAATATTTATCAGTTCAACGTTTTCTATTTTTTTCTATCGAAATCAAGCATCCGCCTCGTGTTCATTTTATAGCGATCTGGTAATTCAGCACGAAACCAATTTTTTTTCAATTTTCAATTCGACTTGAACAAATATTTGTTGATTGATAGAAAGCTTGCATGTGCGTTGAAATAAAGCAAAACTCATTGTCTGATAAGAAATGCATTGAAACTTCCTTGTTATAACTTTGTAGAAGTGACTATTAGTGTTGCTGTTGGTAAAAGAACAAGAATTTTACTTATCTCTAATGATTTGCAAATCTCTATGAATTTTCCAAATTCTGAGCTTATCATTATTGTTGATGGTCTGCTTCAAGGTTTATTTGACCTCGATGTTATCGCCATTGCTATCACAAACGAAAAATGTTCGAAGTAAATTTATGTGACGTTGCAAAACAATATTTGACTCAAATATTCTGTAAGAAAACTTCTTGAGAAAAGAAAACAAATCTTTTATCTCTTAAATCTTTCAGATTTAAATGTCATGAATTTTTGGGTGCTGGAAGCAGTAAAGCATTTAGGATTCAAAATATTCCTAATAAATTTGCAAAGATACACCACTTGCTAAGAAAATTGTTAAATCTGTAAGATTTCATGTTTATAAAAGAAACGAAAGGATTACAAAAGATCCAAAGGATTGCAAAAAAGAATATGCAATGTTTATGAGTTGATAATAAAACTTTGCCATTATGTGCAATTTACCGGTTGTAAGTATTGCACAATTTCATCTCTTTTGAAAATATTTTTTATGAGTGACCATAAAATATGTTTTTGGCAAATTATCGTATTCTGCTGAAAATTCTTCAAGTTCCTGTTGAATTTATGTTTGTTTCTCAATTCTATAAGACTTTTGAGATAAAATGGAATAAAGTTCGATTGAAAGTTTGGTCAAAATTGCCAGCAAATTGATTTTTGTTTCTGTTGTCTTTTCATTCTGTCTTCGTTTCGGTTCAAACAAATAATTGTCGATTTTCACCCATCGATTCGCCCACCACGATTATTTTTGACGTTTTTTATTACTTTTTCGGCAGCTCGCTTGTACGACAATAGCACACGAGGGTTGGATTTAATCGAAAATTTTGCTTCATTACTTATTAATTTACAAATCGAATTTCAGGCTCGCTTATTGGCACGATGGAACGCGATGGACGACTTTTCACTTCTCTTTTTATCAATTTCTGTGTTTTGTCCATTTTTTGTCATAGAAATTTGGGAAATCGTTAGTGGGTGTTGTGATGAACTATTGTGGAGTGGTGGAAGTTCCTTTTATGCGTATCGTTTAGCCTTGATGGGACGTTTTCCCTTTTATATTTGCTGTTCTTCATGTGAAACGATGACTGACTCTGTCGTACGACAATTCCATTAACATTTGAATCTCGTGTGTGGACTAACGCTGATAAGCAGCGATACAGTTGAGTACGGGTCATGATGAGGTTTGAGGTGAATCTTTGATAAAATATCATGCGTTTAATTTCAAATCGAATAGCCATCAATAAACATTTTCCCACCCACACCACGTTATGAAATTATTGTGAGTTAATTGGTATCATCACCGTTTGCTGAACACATGTAAATGTTCCATTAAACTAATTCACGACGTGTTCCACATTGTCCATCAATTCCACCTCCATCCTTCCCTTCCTTCATTGAGGCAGAAATAACAAGTCACCAATCAATTTAATAATTCACGATCTGAATAATTTCAGCGCAATTTCGACGTATTTCCTTCATTTGGTCATAGCTTTTGGGGGTGGAAAAGAAAAGTAAAAATTTCATAAATTTTTCACACAAAAAGCTGCGTGAAAAACTCGAAAAAAATGACTGAAATGAAAGTGAAATTAATTATGTATGATGGACATACACGAGCACATGCTGGAAGGGAACCAAAGGATGGTGAAAACCAAAACAAAGTTTTGCTATTTGCGTTCGTTGTTCCGCTGTTCGCTGTCCGCTATCATTGAATTATTTATTCCCCTAATTTTACGAGAACTTACAGTCTGTAAGTTTCAATAGTGAACGTTTATGTGCAGCGAATTATGCGAGAAAATAATTGAAAAAGAATGCGAAGCAAAAGAGATGAAAAAATTGTATGAAGAATTCCGCAAATCGGCGAAACGACAACAAAACTGACCTGACACAATTATTCCAGTCGGCAACTCCATACTTTAGCTCCCGACTCGTATTCCAATCGTTCATTTGCTTTCTCGTTTTCGCCAGTTGCGAAAAATCGCGAATGTGATGCAAAGTGAAGATTTGTGAATGTGTTGAACGGTCACGAATGGAAGTTTCGCGAGATCGCAATGGTGCTAGTTGACGACGGTGCTTACCATTCATTGGCTAAAGCTCCAAACTTCTTCTTACTTTATTTCATTTCATTTAAAAAATCTCTTTCTTGCTTTCGAATGCATTTCAAGCCTTTAATTAGAGAATTTTCTACGCATTTTGACGGCAGATTTAAAGCAGACACACATCTTGTGTTGAATTGTTGATTCTAAATTTAGAAGCAACTATGAAGCACGTTATGTTGAATGCAATAAAACTCACAACGAGAACAACAAGAAGAAGGAATTGTGAAAAACGCGATGGCGAATGAGAAATCAACGCTACATGAATCGGGATGATGCGAGAATGTTTTTTTTATTGAATATAAGAAGATGAAGACGAAGACGAAGAAATAAACGTGAAAGATGAAAGAAAGAAAGAAAATTTTAACACTTTTCGACTCGCCCTTTGCCTACGTCAACAAATTCTGTCGTGGATCCGTTCGTACTTAGAAGTAACTCCAACAATTTCTTCTACATCATTCGTCGTCACTTTTCTATGCTGCATCTTCACTTCAATGATTTTTCATTCTTTCGTCTTAAGTTGATAAAACTTTCATGACTTTTTGTGACTTCTCGAGACGATCAACGTCGATTTGAAGATGACGTTGGCACTTTTCGATGATTTTCGGGTTCGGTCGCCACCAGCCAGCATAAAAATTCATCAAAATTGAGCTTAATTGGCGCACAAATTATTCTCAAAGATTTGGAAATTTTCATGACTTAACAAATCGAATAAAATATTTACAGCATAAATAAATGTCCAACATTTTATGTTGCATTCCAAGGACATGAAAGTTGAGAACGATAAAAAAAATCCAATTTGAATCTTTTGACAACCAACACAAAATAAAAATCTTTTCATAAGATCAAAGAAGGAAAAGTTAAAGAGTCAAAGTGAAAAAAAAACCAGAATTAATCAAAAGACCAAACAATGTCGAGAAATCAAATGCGCTGCGTTCTTCTGCGTACATAAACAAAACAACACGAAAGGCGACCGAGAAAGAAAATCTAGAAAAAGTCGCAGCCGAGGAAGTCGAAAAAAAAATGAATTTTTATGTTGTTATTTCATAAAAGGCAATAAGAAGAAGGCGAAGGCGAATAATAAGAAAAGAAGCAAACAAAATAGAGATAGACGAGTCGGGCACTGCGATGCGAGTCCCGAAAATAACAAAAAAAAATGTGGGTCGTTACCCTCCGAAAATTCACGGTCATTTCAAAGTCACAGACACATCCAACGCATCATGTGAACAGTGAACGCAAAACGCACAAAATTCTTATAAAACGTTGAGTTCTGCGATCTTTGGTGTTGTCAGATGATTCGATGCATCACTTGCAGTTCGTTTCACTTTAGTAGAAACGGGCAACTCTAATATACTCCCACACACATGTTTCACTGATGATATCGATGAGACCAGTCGAGAATAAAGAACGAAGAAAGAAGAACGTTTGCAGTTGCACTCGAAATGCACGACGACGATCGTTGGGCTGTGTTAGTTGAAAGTTGCGTAATCTTTCTTTGTGTTGAAGAGTGATCAAGAAGAAAAATTCACAACTCGATGATGTTGTGTTGGTTGATTTCATTTGGCTGGTGCTGTGCTGCCCGTCGACGATAATTTTTTTTGTTTTTGGTTTTTTTGGCTTCTTTCTTCTTGATTTTCGAGGGCAAAAAGAGCAAATGAAGGAATTAAAATGTTTCTGATTCCAACACTTCTGAACGACGTTACGCGTTGAAGATAAGCGAAAATGTTCAACTGTGTGAGTGATGCATCATCAGCAGCATTAACGACAGCATCTTGCGTGGTTTCCATTTGCATGAAATGTTTCTTGATTGATTTTTAAACTCTTTCACATGTAAATTGCGAATCATTCTTGAACTTCTTGAGCTTTGTTCGATATTTAATTTTTAAATCACTTTCAAAAGCAGCGCAAATTCATGCAAATCAGTTCAACGGAATTTTAATTGTAACGAAGTAGCAGAAGGAAGAAAAGAGAAATTATCGCATTATTTATGAGAACAAGGAAGAAATGATTTCAATTTTAAAGAGAACCAGCTGGCAGAAGAGTTTTAAAAATCTTGAAGGGACAAGTCCTCGAAATTCTATTCCTGTTTGGTGCAAAAAACGTACACAGAACATTTGCGTATTGTCGATGTGAATAAATTATGAAGAAAAAAATTCACGTTGATTTTCTTCAGTTCCGAAAAGGAAAAAAGGAACAACAACACAAGGATCTCGACGCATCACCAACCGAAGCAACACACAAACGAATGTTTATTGCACACTCGTCGCTTGGCATCGTCAGTTGATGATTATGCAATTGAAACAGAAGGGAGCGAATGTCAGCAAAGGATTCTTTAACGATCTTCGTCTTTGAGTAGCTCATTTGAATATTATGCAAATCACTGACATTCTGATGCAAAATCAGAGTCGAAGGAAAAAAATTCTCACGCAAAAACTTCTGCAGCCGATGAACCTTTCACATCCTTTCTCGAATTGCCCTTTTTAATATTGTTTGCAGATCCAGGAAGAAATTATTTTTCTCTCTTCTTTGTTGAGGTGAATCTGATTATGCAAATAACTTCGACTTCGAATCATCGAATATCATCATCAGTAACGTCATCAGAAGGAATCTTTCAATGTTGGTTTAAAAAGGAATTTTGACGGTGCATGAAATCGAAAGGAAAGAAAAATTGTTGTTTTAATGAAGCACCAGATGTGTGTAGAGGTCTGAGATTAAATGATCTACCAACACACACTCATTTGTGTCGTCCTCGCTCTGCATCATGCGTGGGAACGAAAAAAGGTTTTTGATTCGCGAGAATAAATAATCGACGATTACTAAAAAGGATGAAAGGAAAAAGGCTTTGAAAAGGAGAAGAAATCGAAAAGTCATTCTGCAGATGATGCAACTTGCACATGGTTCGATTGAAGATGCAAAAGATCGGCGAATCATCGAATCAATCGAACATTCACAAGGGTTACGCAAATCGAAGAGGGTTCACAATCAGCCAATTGCAATGCAAGGAAATCGAATTTGCAGTTGATTGGGTCACGACTTCCTGCTGTTTGACGCTTTTTGATTTCATTGCTGCAATCGACGTGTTTTCTTACTTGATTCTTCCAAGACTCTCGTTCTCTGATTCTTCCCTCATCTGAATTTAAAATTACAAATCACCATCACATGAAGCAGACAACAAAAAATCAGGTTCAGGTTGTTTTCATTGTTAATGCGATTGCGTTCTTTGTTATGTCTACTTATATGGATGAAGAAACGATGGTGGTGTACAGTGCAATGATGTAAGCGACAAGGGAGAAGAACCGAAGGAAGGAGAAGAACGAGAAGGAGAAAAGCGAAACAATGAAACAAGAATCTCTTTTCACATCTACCTGCTCAACCTTTGATATCAAAAAGTCCTTTTCTCGATTCTTTTGTTGATTTAAAGTCGAGAATGGACAAAGGCTGAAGCAGACGAATGCTGTTCATGCAAAGACGACTCGTCTTCGATGGATTCAAGAAAAAAAAAACGCTGATTCGACCCTGAAATGCAACTTCTTTAAAGTACTTTAATCAAATCCACCAGAAATAATTTATTCTTTCACGATTCTTTCTTAATTCCTTTCGTTAACCTTTTGAACGGTTCAACCCTTTTACGAAACGATTCCTTCAATCTTTCCACTTGATTTGTATGAGAAATCCTTAAATTTCAACTTGCACAATAATATTTAACAAATGCCATTCCATTTTATTCCTTTTCTTCATCGTCTCCTTCGTCTTCATTCCCACACACATCATGATTCATGATCAGAACATGAACAACGCATTAAGTCCTTAAATTCATCATCTGCGTTGCTTTCACAGCAAACACAAAAGGATCTTTTTTCTTGATATCAACTTTATTCGCGATCACTCTTTTGTGTTGGTGAATTAATCGCCAAATGCTCGATTGAACAACGAAGACACAACAGCAGGTAGAAAAATAATTTAAAGCATTTCTACTTTTTAGGATTCTTTTCCTTTCTTTCTTCATCGCCGTTGTTACTCGATGAACCAAACATAGAACAAGCACAGAAAGTCGAAAAATAAAATGCATTTTATTCGATTCGATTATAAACCAATTTATGGCTTCCACCTTTTGTTCAGAAAACATTTTTATGTTTAATATCAAAATTTTAAGCAAAAAGGAATTTTCTTTGTAGTTTACGATAGCAGTCAGACAATGTCAAGACGACATTTTGAAATATTACTTTCTTCGTTGAATGTTTAGATATGAAGAAAAGGACTCGGATTCTCAACTAGAACAAAAAATTATCGTCTTTCACCTCGATTTCATCGACGATCCTCTTTTTCTGCAATATTCTTTTTTATATTTATTGCTGCATCAAAAAGGGACGAATTTGTGAAATTCTGGAATCAACAATGTCGGCTGTGAGAGTCTCATAGCAATTATTTTTGAGAGGTAGAAGTAAAGTCAAAAATTGAACTCGCGCACCCAAATATTGTTTTTTGATACGATCATTAAACAGCATAAACGAATGCATGGAAAACGCAACGCAATAAAAAAATTCACCCTGCAAAAACATGTTAATTCATTGCCAACAATAGCAGACTGTTCACTTCCACGCACCTCAATAACACATTTCGTTTTATTTGAGGGCAAGTCAATTGATTCAGCGGTCTTGATAACAACTGCGCTTTTTGTCGGGATTATATTTGTGTTGTATATTTAATGTTCCTTTCTTTTTTTGGCAGAAGCTTATAATTTTCGACGACATTTGGAATGCAATTTGATAAATGAAACGAGGGTTGGAAATTTTGAGAATTGGGATTTGTTATCCAGTTAGGATTGTTTTCAAAATGACGATCTTTAATGCATTTATCTTAAAAAGTTCAATTAACACTCTCAGTCAACTGTCACGATGTTTAAAGTTTAGATTCATAGAAGGCAAAGCCAATTAACATAAACATAAGAAAATATCTGAAATTCATTCTTGAAAGACATCATTGATGAATTCATTCATTCATTCCACCTAGGACAGTCATAGCTAATGGTGAAAGGAAATGCCTTTTTTTCTTTTCCGAATTTATGTTTATTTTTCGTAAAATTTAAATGATCCCGTCCCACAACTCAAGTCTTGCTTTTTTTATTTTCAAGTTTAGGGGTTGCACATTTGTTAAATTCTTCAACTTTTTTTACACAATTGTTTGCATAAAATGAAAGTAAAATTTTCTTCCTTTGTTTTGACGACGATGTGAATGAGGGAACAACAAAAAGGACAATGAATGAAATGCATGTGCAGTTGGAAGTTTTTCTTTTCCTTTCTTCGTTTATGTTCNCAAACATAGAACAAGCACAGAAAATCGAAAAATAAAATGCATTTTATTCGATTCGATTATAAACCAATTTATGGCTTCCACCTTTTGTTCAGAAAACATTTTTATGTTTAATATCAAAATGGAATAAAAGTTGTTGTAAAGAGATGTAAAAAGTTTTCTATTTTATTCGATTCTAGACTGGGTCAGTTTCGTCGTTTGAAATTTTTGTATGGATAAATATGTAGACAGTGATCACAATTTTTTACTGCATTTACGGACATTGTCAAGTTGTTTAGTTCCATTAGACAAAATTCAAACGGACCTTCGCCTTTTTATCTCAACCTTGGGATCGCTTTTGATTGAACCTTTCTAGATTCGTTTATCTTTTGTTACAAGACTTGATATAAAAAGGAGACATAAAAAGGTTCGTAAAAATTGCAAAAGATTTTGCTTCGTTTGTTGCACAGAAGTTTTTTAGCTTTTTTGACTAGAAAAAGATTCACACGCTATAAAAAAATGTTTCCTGCTGGTTTTCAATGCATTTCATAATTTTTCACAATATTTTTGGCATCACCATTGCAATAGTGTGTGGGTTTTAATGATTTTTTTATTCAGCAGTAAATTGCGTGAGTTTTTCCAAACTTAGATATCGATTTTGATTGTATTTATTATTCCCTCAGTTATAGTCAATTCTTTTTATCAGTCATCAAAAATGCGTTCAATTTAAGCGGGCTCATTGTCAGAAAGGGAGAGAAGAAAGTCGATAAATTAATTGCAATTTATTAAAAGAAATTATGATGATTCGCTTTATTTACGCTTTTATCCCATAAAATTAAATTGACGTAGTGCATTTGATGATGTTTGTCAGAAATGCTGGTGCTTAATTGTTGATAATACATTTTATGCTGAGAATAGTCTTCCTTTTTAATCTCTTCAAAATTGCATTCTCATGCACTCGAAATATGCTCGTTTCTTCTTTTATACAACATAAAAAACATAAATTTTCTAATCATATTGAAAAAAAAGGTTTTTTTCATGTCACGAGTTTATGTGTGAATAAAATAAAAAATGGAAACAGCGAATGAAGATTGTTTAATTAAAAATTATGAAAACGTACAAACACACATTGAAGGTCTCAATTACACGCAACATTCTTTCTTTCTTCTTCTTCTCGAAAGCGAGCTCGGCTTTCGAAAATGGCGCAAAAATTCACTTGTGTGTTAATTCGGAGTGTAAATTTAAATTATGGCAAGGGCGCAGCTTGCTGGCCCTTTTTAGTTCGGGTTTCTCTTTTGGCTCTCTTGTTTTGTGCGCTGAATGCTGAACAAAACATATCTACAGCGATGTCAGTTTAATCAAACTTCATTTCTAAGCGTGCGACCCACTTTTTTGCCTTCTTGCACATTTAATTTGACGTGGCCCTTTCGCTCCGAACGGTTTTTTTCATCATCTGATGTTTGCTTTTATTTCTAACTCGATCTCTCACATTCTCCATACACATTTTTCATTTCTTGCGATAGTATCATTGTAGATACGAGAGCTAACAAGCGACATGTGAAAAAGCTGTGCACATTTTGATTATTGCATGCAAAGAGTCAATGGACTCACAACCTCAATTCGCTCGCTCGAGGTTTTTTTATTTCGATGGAAATGTTTTCATTCGTACGCTTGCAATGAATGTTTCTGACAGTAGATTCTCGAAACTTCAGAAATATTGTTATATTTATCCATTTAAAGCAGCGAATGATTTTATTCTTTATTTAATTTCCAAGAAATTGATATTTATAAATAACTCGAATGTAATCATTCTGAAACTTTGAATGAAAATATCATGACAGACTTCACTGTTGCTCACTTTTCTTGCGTTAGTAGATAGTAGAAAGCCCTAAAATAATAATCGGTCGGATATCAAATAGAAGCCAAAAAGCATATAAAAAACATGTTTTCGTGAAAAAACTTTCAATGAAATTTTGTGTATTCAAGTGCGTTGCGCTTTTCTCGTCAATGTTTATGCTGCTGCCTTCCAAATGTTCAAATTGAATCAACAAACAGCGTAAATGTTTCGTTTCTTTTATTTTCTTTTCTTTACCGAGAGAATATTGCTTCTAATTGGTGATATTTCTCAATGGACTTTCTTTCAGAGTCGTTTTAGGAATATTAAATTCAAACATGAAAAGAAATTGAGAAGGCAATAAACGAGAATACATTTTCGGGAGATGAATTTCAATTGATAAATATTGACACTGCCTTCGGGAGTCCCTGACTAGATTCGTAAAAGTTCAAGAAAGAAACTTCACACTCAACAATCGTGTAGAATATGATCCCTCAGCTCAACTAACCCGCATTACTTGCGTTGTTCCCGCAGATTTGCAACTTTCCCATGCAATTATGACCTAAAATTGCATAAACATATAATTTATTTACGTGTGAACAAATCTTCAAAATTAACTTATTGGAACTTTTCAATTTCCAACAAGATCTCTCAATTTCAACTCAAAATCAACAAACAAAAGATTGCAACCAAACAATAGATATAATCCTTGTTGGCAACAGGTGCCTCTGCTTCCAGAATTTCTTATTTTTCTTTCATCTAAATCAACCCACAGAACATAAACGAAGAAAGGAAAAGAAAAACTTCCAACTGCACATGCATTTCATTCATTGTCCTTTTTGTTGTTCCCTCATTCACATCGTCGTCAAAACAAAGGAAGAAAATTTTACTTTCATTTTATGCAAACAATTGTGTAAAAAAAAGTTGAAGAATTTGAACAAATGTGCAACCCCTAAACTTGAAAATAAAAAAAGCAAGACTTGAGTTGTGGGACGGGATCATTTAAATTTTACGAAAAATAAACATAAATTCGGAAAAGAAAAAAAGGCATTTCCTTTCACCAGTCCATTAGCTATGACTGTCCTAGGTGGAATGAATGAATGAATTCATCAATGATGTCTTTCAAGAATGAATTTCAGATATTTTCTTATGTTTATGTTAATTGGCTTTGCCTTCTATGAATCTAAACTTTAAACATCGTGACAGTTGACTGAGAGTGTTAATTGAACTTTTTAAGATAAATGCATTAAAGATCGTCATTTTGAAAACAATCCTAACTGGATAACAAATCCCAATTCTCAAAATTTCCAACCCTCGTTTCATTTATCAAATTGCATTCCAAATGTCGTCGAAAATTATAAGCTTCTGCCAAAAAAAGAAAGGAACATTAAATATACAACACAAATATAATCCCGACAAAAAGCGCAGTTGTTATCAAGACCGCTGAATCAATTGACTTGCCCTCAAATAAAACGAAATGTGTTATTGAGGTGCGTGGAAGTGAACAGTCTGCTATTGTTGGCAATGAATTAACATGTTTTTGCAGGGTGAATTTTTTTATTGCGTTGCGTTTTCCATGCATTCGTTTATGCTGTTTAATGATCGTATCAAAAAA